TTTATTAATTAATTTTTAAATTTACAACTGAAATGAATAGCTTGTATATAAAGTAATTAAAATATATTATATTTATAGAAATAAAGATGTCTAATATTGATATAGTTACTATAAGGGAGACTTTGTACAAAAGTCGATTGCTTGGGTACCTCTGTCCCATTCGTGTTTCAACCGTGAAGCAGTCGTGTTTGCATGGTTGTGTTTCGGTTTGAAGGGTGGGATATGGCGTGAATTTATAGGGTACAGAGGAATAACACCTTAGTCCTCAGGAATGGCAACGTATGGGGGGGTATCATGGGCGAAACAGTATACTCGGTTATGTCCATGGTACTGCTCATGTCTATAGGCGACGGTTACCACTTTCCATCAGATGGGACGTCAGCTTGTTTGCCATTCTAAGTTGTATAAAAAAAAATATAAATGTTGATTGATAATTAGTTAACAATTTATAACAAATTTGTTGAATAGATGCTTCCATAGCCACTAACTAAAATTATTGACGTAATTTTACATAATAATAATAATAATAATAATAATAATAAAAAACGGCATTTAGATTATTCTGTATGTTATTATCGATTAATTGGTAATAAAATATTAAGTAACATTACATTTAAGACTTAGGTAAATAGACAGACAATTGTCATATTTTTCATCTACACGGCCAAAGCTATGGGATACAGTTCGTTTTTTATATTAAACTTGTGACACAATTCAATAATAATTTTTTGCTTTATTTATCGTTCTAGTTGCGTTTCACTATAAAAAAATTAACAAATAAAAAAACTTGGCTATTATTTCTGTCTATCGGTATGACCCTAAATATGTATCACGCAATGGTTTTAAAATTAAACATGGTGTTTCTGCGCTCGCGTGTAGCTGTGTCAGGCAGGTTTTAACTCAATCAGTCAGTTACTTTCACTATCTGATTTTCTATTTATATTTCACTATAGCATAGTAATTTCATATTTTTTTCATCTTCATCTAGTAAGTACATTGGTTTTTTTTTTTAAATAAAAGAATCTAATTGTTCAATGTAAAGAAAGAACTTTCCAAAATGAAATTAGATAAATACCTATAATAAACATACATTATTATATTTATATTTAGAATTAAATGTGAAATGGAAATGATTAGCAGTTTTCCTAAGGAAATATAGTACTAAAACAAAAAAAAAAACGAGTCCACCATACTATCTACATCCTGGAACTAACTAGGTACACATACAAGTAATCCTGTATCCTTTCTATTTCAATTATTCTTATGTTTTCTTCATAAAATTCTTTCTATGAATAAAGTTCCTTACAAAATAATTAACAAATCATTCCAAAACTAATTCTGAATATATTTGGAATATTCTTTTTAGATCGTTAACAGTTATGTACTGTGACGTCAACGTGCATCTATGTACATATATACAACAGTACGTCAATATGTACATATACGTCACAATGTGTGCCTGATGTACACGTATCCAGCACTAAAATAGGTCATGGTCTACATTTCATGCGTTCCCTCACGATCTATTCCCTGCTGTTTGTATGGAATAACTTAATGGTTTATTACATTCTTCAACAGGCCCATATCGTCTTGGGTATATTGATATTTATGTTCGTCAAAAATAATTTTGCAGGAACATTTATGACTCCTGTAAATCGGAAATTAGGTAGCAACATTTTTTATTGTTGACCTAATCATAAAACACAAGTTGACATCAATGTCTTCACAGTCCGTAGAGATCCTGAGGTATTTTAATCAATTTTTATTAGACAAAATTTGGGCGTTAATATGTCTTATCATTGGTTCTGCTACTGTCAAATGATATTGGAAAATAGTCAGGCCTAATCGACATACTATTTCATAAATACCCATAAATTGATTTCATTATGTGATACTCTTACTGCTTAAAATCTCTCGTCTATTCCTCTTTCTCAGCAGACGAAATGTGTTTTTTATTATATTTATGTGACCATTGTTCTATCACAAAAAACAGGGAAGTGTTCAATACAAAAATAGATATTAGATTGATAGTGTTATATATTAACTAAATTATGATCATTCCTGACCATTATGTGTAATTAGGTGAGGTTATCCGAGGTCAAAATGTCACGCAATGCCACACCCTCGGACACAAACAAATGTTCGACTTGAACAAGCTTCAGAGACAGCTGGATCTTATGAAACGACTGTCCCGATTATATCGATATCCATCGCTTGTTATCTAGCGAACGTAGAATATGCTACCAGTGTATTAGTAGAATCGTTTAGCTAGCAGGAAACAACGATGCTATACTTATAAATTGGTTGACGAAACTCAGAGATGACGTTGAGAAGAACATGTTAATTAGAATGCTCGTATTGTTGAAGACACTAGAAACTTAGTAAAGGCTGTTCAGAGTACGCGTGCGCAATGGCCAAGGACACACGCCGCGCCTCAGTCTGGCAGGAGGCAGCGCCGTGGCCGCCTGTCCCCTCGACCCCATCCTCTATGTACCACGATGCGGACAGCCGCAGTGGCCGACGCGTAAGTCCGACCCAAGCGGAATATGTTAGACCCAGCCCCCGTTCCGGTGCAGCTCGCAGAGCGACCTTAAGCTCCGAGGTCCCGCGGTCGCTCCGTTTCAGTCTTGTAATTGGATTTGTCGTTCAATAAGCAACGTTGTTCTGATTTGATTGGCGAACGCTTTCCGCTTCGATATTGCAGCTTGCTTCTTCACTTCCAATCGGAGGCTCTAGTAGCTTTGAATGTAGTCGCTTTATTTGTTATTAAGGTATTGGTTTGTTATCGCGTGCGATATGAGGACTTACGTAATGTGGTGTTACGGAGTCGGTGGTGCATCACGATCTGATAACAATGTTGGTATGCGTGTATAAGATGCTATGGACTAGTTGTGACTGAGAAACAAGGTCATTGTGGACATGACTTGCTGGGAAAGTGTAGGACTACTGGGGCCATGCGCGCTACTCTCTTCATCCGATGTCAGGGTGAGTCCTTTACGCAAGAGAACCTCTTGCATCCGCTCCGTTTTATAATAGTTAATTCCCAAAAGAATCTTTTTCATTAAAACATTCAGTATTGAGGAGCACGTCATCATATTCTACTTGTTAAAGCTATTTTACAACTCACTGCAGAATAACAATACAAAAGTCTGCAGTTTAATATAATAACAACATAATAATTGCATTCGTAATTAACACTAATTATGTTTAACTAAACTATTGTTCGTTAATGGCATATTAGTTTTAAATGTCTTTCGTAATAATTATTATATTGTCATTAGTATTTAGTAGTCAGTTGGGATCCAAACCTATAAATAGTAGCTGCTCAATTGAAATGGTGTCAATAGTGTTTTTAACAACGGAAGAGGTGCTTGAAAAAAATATATTCTGGCATTCTTTGGATAATCTGTGGATCGCAGAAGAAATGGAACCATTTGAAGATGTTAAACTGGAACATGCATACATAAAACCACTGTCAAGAGATGTTTATTACGCAAAGTATCCAGATATATCGAGGAGCGAGTCAGACGACGAAAATTATTTGAGTATGAAAGATTTTAAAAATAAATACAGGAAATGGAGATCTAAGAAAAAAGTGCATAAAATCGACGTACGAAGACGAAATTTATCCCAACCTAATCTTACTACGTTATCTGTTCATGACAACATGTCAGTCAATAGCAAATTAACTGAAGTTGTACCTATTACAGAAAATAAAACAGAAATGCATGTAACAACAAATATAATGTCTACTGAAATCAATGATGAGAAAATACGGAATTTTTTTAAGCGTTTACACGAAAATATTCCTCCACCGCCATTAGAAAATCAAGAAGAAGATGCTGATAATATTGAAACAAATTGTTCATTTGTTACACCGTCACTATTAGAAAGTTACTTCGATGATATCTATATTCCAAACTATGATGCGTTTGAAAAAAATAAAATGTCTCCAATTGTGCCTGTTACAAATGCTTTATCAGGGGAATCTTACTTACTAATCTTACCAGAGGGAGACTTTGTACAAAAGTCGATTGCTTGGGTATTGTCCCATTCGTGTTTCAACCGTGTTGTGTTTGCATGGCTGTGTTTCGGTTTGAAATGCTTTATCAGAGGAATAACACCTGTATTGGGCGAAACAGTGTTATGTCCAAACTGCTCATGTCTATAGGCGACGGTTACCACTTTCCATCAGGTGGGCCGTCAGCTTGTTTGCCATTCTAAGTTCTATAAAAAAAAAAAAAAAAAAAAAAAAAAAAAAAAAAAAAAAAAAAAAAAAAAAATCTGTATTGAATGAAAACCTTAACTTAGATTTTATGGAGACCGATTCCGAAATTACTGATTTATGGAATGAATCTATTTACGGTATCTCAGGATTAATTCAGCAAAAAATGGAAAACAATTCAGAAGATTCAGGGCATTTATCATCATGGTCTGAAATTACTATAGATTGTGATTTTGTTGAGAATTTTTTGAGAAGGAAAGAAACTGCGGAATCCGTCGAAAATTTTATTAGTAAATCACATCATGTGGATACTGAACTTTTGGATTTAACAGTAGAAACTGGCGACGAGGTCACTGAATATGCCCGATTTGCAACTTATAAATTATATCAAACATTAAAAATCCAAGAAGAAATGACCGATTCGTCAACTTTGAAAAATTTTGATAAAAAAATTGATGATAATTTAAACTTTAAAACTTCGTTTCGTGCATCAGTTTATTGTTTAGTACCTAATGATGATGATTCTTTAGTGTAGTTAGAGTTAAAATCGATAAATGTGACTAATCATTAATATTAAAATTGTATATGTTGTATATATATTTATAATAAAGTACGATCTAATAAAATTTTATAGCAGTTTTATTTGATAATATTACGAAGAGCCAAAGCATCTGCTTTCTTCAGTATTGATTTTGGTATATATTTTTCTATTTATTTATTACATTAATATTTTGTTATATTTTAATACATTTACATTTTATTTTGATTGTTACAGCCTCCTGAGAACGAATTACAGAAGAATTCTGATCGTGTGCTCTCCGAGCACGAGCTACGGGTGCAAAGGTCATTGCAGAAGCTCAATGTACCAGAATGGTAAATAGAATTCAGACTAATTATTATTTTTTTTTTTTTGTAGAAATAAATACTTTAAATATAACGCATTTAGCACAGAATAATGTCGAGCAATATAAGAGTAAACCCTTTTTTATTTAATAAAAGAACCATTCATCAAAGTCTGTTCAGAACTGATGAATAAATTCAGTCGATTTGTTGTTAATTCACTTTTAAGTCTCATTAAATCGTGGTCCTGACACAAATTTAATATTTATATGCGAGATACTTTTTTTATTTGGAATAAAAAGTATTAAGATATAGCTGTGTACTAACAAATATTTTTTGAAGACGGCTACCAAATCATTCGTTATAATTTCATCCTACTTATGTATTGACCAATTGTTATGCAATTCGACGTAGGTATAGTTTGAAATAAAGAAAAGCTTGAGATACACTTTATTCCATCAATTAATGTTATCCTAATCACACGGACGAGGTCGCAGGCAAAAATGTAGCCTATAACCGTATTATACGTATTCAATACCGGTAGATGTTTCGTTTCCAAGAATTTCTATATTGGAAAGAGAAATATTTATGCAGCAATAATAATAGTCATATTAGATCTATTCAAACATTTCTCAAAGGTCTATTTTGTTTCTATTAATTTGGAACTAGAGATCTATTGAATGTTTTGTCTATAATAATCATTCCATGATAGAATCAAAGGGGCTACCAATTAATATTTCCATTTATAGATGCATGTGTAAATATAAGATTTATTTAGATACAGTACTAAGAGTAAGCATTTAATTACTAACGACGTCTAAAAAGAATAGGTGAATCGATAAATTTTAGATATCAATAATTAGCCATTAATTATGTACTGATATTAATAATCCTTTTTTTTTTATTTATTAGGTTTGGTTTAATCTTGTATTGGTCCTATATTAATTTTTGTACAAATTCATTTGAATATATCTATATATATTAAAACTTATGTTCATATTTAAATAATGTATGTCAGGAATTTGTGGGAAACGACAAATGTAGTAAATTCATAAAATTCCCGTTACATACATTTAAATATAACTACGTTTATAACATTATTTCCTACAGAATTCATATTTTTAATTTTAAATCTAATATTTGTTTATATTAGAACACCAATCATTAAAACAGTTACAGTAGCTAACAACAGACATTACCCAAGGAAATGAAATATAATAAAAGTAAAAATATTTCCATAAAATACCACGCAATTGTTATAACTTTACAAAATAAATAACATCAACTATATAAATATTAATCAATGCTGTCAAGGTAGCCGAAAACATAAGAATAAATTATTCTTATTTGTAATTTACGTAAAGGAAAATGAAGGACAAATATGAGTTAATTATAAAAGTGTTTACCTTTCGCTCGTTATCGAATGCAACAGTACGAGGTTTGTCCGAAAACATAAAAGTTTTTTAATAAATTATTCTTCATTTTTATCCCCTTCAAAGTAATTGCACTTGTGCCAACGCCGTTTCCAAAAGGCTCCTTGAAAGTCCTCTGGTTGTAGGTTTCTCAGCTGCCCCGTCGTAGCTTTTTTTATCTCATTTATGACCCCAAAAATCCCACCCCGAAGTACCAATGTGGTTTGAGGGAAACAGAAGAAGTCACACGGGGCCAATCCGGCGAATAGGGGTTTCGGTCAATTTAATTTTTACTCAAAAACTCACGGACAACAAGAGAGGTGTGGGCAGGGGCATTGTCGTGGTGAAGAATCCAACGCCCCTCTCGCGCCAATTCTGGACGAACTCGTGCCACACGAGCTTTGAGGCGATTAACGTAGAATTATAAAAGTGTTGATCTGGACAATCCATCAACTGTCTGAGGGACGATCGGACAAAACATCGAAAAAAACAATCAACATTGTCTCGGCCCTCTCTGAATCTTTTTATTGTGGACGGTTGGTTCCTTCACAGCATCATCCCCATAAACTGTTCTGAGATCGGCAAAAATTTCAGTTTCGAGAGAAACTTGATTACGACGCGCTGCTCTTCAACGGAAGCGGGCTCCATGCCGACGGGGTTTCGTTATAACTTCATTAATCAGACCAGAACTTTGTTAGGGACATACATCATATTTTTCTTAAATTTTTAATGAATAAATTCTTTTATTCTTTAATATTGTTTTACTTTAATAAGCGAAAAAAAAAGTTTTAAATGGTAACTTGGATTTAATGGGTCTACGTCGGGATTGATTGTGAAACTTCATTCTGTATTTTTAAAACTTCATGTAAATATTGCTACACGAAAAAATACATCAATTTCCATCGTGGTGAAACTCATCTGTTATTTGATTTAAAAATAAACTTTTTAAAAGATTTTGATGAAATTTCTTTGAGACCAGTCTGAAAGAAATCTTTCAAATACAAAAACCAATCGGTTTGAGTTTCAAGGATGGAGTTCTGAGGTGGCATACACAAAAAAATACGAACAAATTGAAAATCTCCTCCTTTTTTGAAAGCGGTTAAAATTAAAATATTTTGAGGATTTAACTTAGTTTTTACCTGCGATTTTGTCCACGTGCATGATCGAGAAATATTAATTGGCCGGGGTAAAAGTTAACCTTTGTCCTGCTGTATCCCAAATAATATGTGTATATCCCAATTAGTGTGGTCCTGCCATAAAATGGACCACTCCTTTCTTTCCTTTGGTTGTCGTAAGAGGCGACTAAGGGAGCTTAATGATCGAGGGATGGATAGCTGCGCCCTTCTTAAAACATCACCAAGGTCTAACTGCGGTTGTCAACCCGTCTGTCAAACGTGACAACTACTGGCAAAACCTCCCTTATGGGGGAAGCATATGTCCAGTAGTGGACAATTGACGGCTAATATGATACTCAAACTTCAGAATCGGCGCCAATGAGAAAATATAATTTTGTTTATTTTGGTTAAAGAAACATACCTACGTATCATAGCATATCAAGACCTGGCATTATCAGTTTTAATTGGATATTCTCACGCTCACTACGTCTACCCTTCATTGTCTTTTATTGTAATTAATGACACTAATTAGAACATGAGCGACTAGACTGATCATATGACTTTGTACCTACTCAAAGCGAAAATACAAATTAAAGTAGATGCCGCAACTGAAAACTTGCGTGATAAATTTTGACCCTAAATTGTACGTAATAGAGTTTAATTGACTTTGATATTTCTATTGACGTCGAAAATGTTAGAAAGTATAATAAAAGCAGAACACCTTACAAAATTAAATTATATTTGCAGATGTTCAGTAATAGGATAAATTCCATATACTATTCATGTTATAGGAATTGGGAATGAAAAGAAAGAGAATTGAATGGTATAAAAATAGGCAGTTGGCATGCGACTGCTACAATATTGTTTGGAACTCCAGCAGAAAGACCTTTTAATAAGGGTAAAAGGTTTCTTTAAAAATAAATGATCAACTTCGATCTGACCCTTTCGATCTGTGACAAATTTAGAAATGTTATACATAATAAATAATATATAATAATAAATGCAGAATTAAACAGAACTAGAGATCAGGGTTCATAGGAGGTCTAAATTAATCTACCTATATATACACTGTTTGGGATACAGAGTAACCTATGTCATTCTCTATCCCACATAGTAATATCTCTATTTCTATCCTATATTGATAAGTTTTTAAGACACTAAGTGGCAACAAACAACTCACTTTTACGTTTATAATATTACTAACGATAAATAACAGAACTAGAGATCAGTGTTCATAGGTCTAAATTAATCTATCTATATATACACTGTTTGGGATACAGAGTAACCTATGTCATTCTCTATCCCACATAGTAATATCTCTATTTCTATCCTATATTGATAAGTCTTTAAAACACTAAGTGGCAACAAACAACTCACTTTTACGTTTATAATATTACTAACGATAAATAACAGAACTAGAGATCAGGGTTCATAGGAGGTCTAAATTAATCTATTACGCTCAAATAACTAAATTGTAACTACCATAATAGTCATAAAAATTAAAGGAACCCTCGATGCATGTATGAGACGAACTATTAAAAGTCTATTTAATTTTTGGTTAATCTATAAGGAGTTATTAATTAAAAGAAAAGGTATAATTAGCTTAGTCACTTCGTAGTAATAAACTGTATAATTATATTTTGTTACTACGAAGTTGGGATGTAGCAAAATATATTCGATCTAGATGATAAAGTACAATCGCAGAATTTTCATGCCGCCTACATGCTTTCAACTTGGCTAATGTCCAACAACAATTTGTACCTGCCCTGCGAAATACGAAAATGCTTATGTCACCCATCTAAGATAAGATAGCCTTCTCTGTTTTTTAGTTTCTCGCTATATTCATGGCACTTTATTCATTATGTATATAATAATAAAAATATAATTATAAAAAAAAAATATTTAAGTATGGTAGATAGTAGATAACGCCATTAGATATATCCTTACAAATTAAAAAAAAGTCATAATTTAACTTGATATAAGTTCTGATATATCTAATACTCTTACTCTGTTCTGTCTTTGTTATTTATTTTTGGTAATAAACGTATTTAATTTTTTTTTAATGGATAATAATGAAATAGTAATCCTGCTTGCATTATGCTCTGACGGGGCACTAGTAACCAATTATTTAATAAGTGAGGATAAAAGCAGCTCAGTTGACTCACCCCGATAGATTCAACATGGATTAACCACGATGATTTTTAGGAAAAACCGTGTGGAGGTCAATCTGATACGATATATTAATAGCAATGGGGCAGCTAGTCCCCGTTATGAACAATCCCCTCCCTCCTGTCCTCAGGCTTAAGCTTCACGTTTATTAGTAATTACTAATAGAGAGAAAAGGCTCGATGGCCGAGATCAAGAGAGGGAAAACTCGAAATATTCAAAAAAATAAAGCCAGGGCCATCATATACATTGGCGATGATTTCTATAGACATAAGTAATCAAAATTTATATAAAATGATTCTTTATTTACAGGTACAAAAACGCACCAGCCCCTCGCGAGGGCTTCCTCCTCCGCAAGCGTCTGTCTGACGCGTCGGCGTCAGCGACAAGATGGAGCGGTCTCAACTCGAAGACTACGTCACTTGGCAGCCTCGGGGGCGCTAATGCGCAGCCACCACCGCCGCAGTTGTCCCCCCACACGACCAGTTTCGGACGATGGTCTACTAGCAGACTTAACTCTAATCAGGTAATCTTATCACACTATGGTCGTAACTGGGGGGGGGGGGGGGGAGGCATTGAGGAGCAATGCCCTAGATTAAAATTAAATGCCCTACGAAAATGAAACAAATTCGCTTTTTCCTAGTCACTTAATTATAGCTTCTGCCTTACCAAAAAGTTCTTTTGCCCTGCCATAAACTTGGCTCGCTACAGCCCTGCATCACACTTATACCTTTTGGCTATGGGCAACGGTTACCACTCCATGCTAAATTCCATGTAAAGATCTGGATAAAGAAAATCGAATATTTCTGGCGTGAGGCATCTGTGCTAGGGTGACTGTATTTTGCTGTGAGAGATGGGATATTGCAGTAAAATTACAGAGTACACAGGCATGAAATGGCAACGCATGATGGGAATATCATAGTGTGTTTTGTGTCTCTATAATACTTGATGGAGTTTGGAATTTAACTTTATAATTTTAAATGCACTTGTAACTACTTCCAAAGCAGTCTGAAAGTAAAATTTAACAATGCTTTAATACAGAGAAATCAATCACGCAATAAAATATATTTAAATTAGTTTGTAGCCGTGACTTCGTCTGCATGATCAGCATATATACTCGTACACTGTTTGGGATACAGAGTAATCTATGTCATTCTCTATCCCATATAGTAATATCTCTATTTCTATCCTATATTGATAAGTCTTTAAGAAGCTATCATCATCATCATCACATCATCATATCAACCTTTAACTATAACGGGAACGGAACGGTTGACCTATTCTATGCCAGGACCAGATGGTCATTTGTAAAAAAATATAATTACGTACCACAAATAAAATGTAATTCCATTCCATAAATAAAATGACTCACGATAGTTATTCTTTACGTATTTGTTTCAGACTTCACCCTGTTCATCGACACGTAGCAGCATCCGCGGTACGAGTCCGCTGTGCTCGCCATCTGCCCGTTCGTCATTCAGCGCTCGCCAACCATACCTCGGCTGGCGGAGTCAGGAACGACTGAACAACACCCCACGAACGCCCCATGAAAGGTGAGCTATAAGAGGCATTACTCCTACCACACAAATTATCATCATATTAGTCCATACCGCATATAAAAATAGCTCTTTTCTCTACTACGCCATGATAATCCTGTTGATGATGATATCCATTTTTTCTGGTGGTATCGTTGGCCTATCTATCTGATGATTTGCTTGGAGGTCACTATTCTGACGCCTTCTTTGTGACAAAAATTTCAAGATAAGTAATAATTCCTGCTTTAGGCTAAAAGTCTTTACTCACATGATGATCATTTGCTAATAACTTGCTAGATACAAGTAATGGAACTTCAAAACAAGTAATGCAATATTCAATGATAGGAGGGGGGATTGTTAACAATGGAGTTTGACAGCCCCATTGCTAGCAATATGCCCTATTAGGTCAACCTCCACGTGATTCCCCCTGGAAACCATCGTGAACAATTCTCGTTGAATTCGTTACGATGGGCTAACTGACCTGTTTCATCTTCGTCTATCATCCTTCACTGGTGCCCTATCAGCGTATACCGATAGCGCGGGTGGGGTTACTATTTCATTATCATCTATAAAAAAAAAATGCGATGATAGGCTGAGTTAACTAAAATCAAATCTTTGTTATGTTCATTGTGATTAATTACAGTTAGCAGCAACAGATAAGATTTGCTTGAAAATTAATCATTAAACTATGTTAAAATTGCTTTAAAGAATTGTTGCTAAAAAAGTACAATATTTGGTTTTTGTAAGTAATCGTCCGTCCATAGCAAAATGTTTTCTAAACTTAAATGTAACTGAAGATAGTCTACCTTTCTCACCAGAGAGAGACTTTGTACAAAGGTTTGTTAATTGCTGGGGTACCTCTGTCCCATTCGTGTTTCTACCGTGGAGCAGTTGTGTTTGCATGGCTGTGTTTCGGTTTGAAGGGTGGGATATGGCGTGAATTTACAGGGTACATAGAAATAACACCTGAGTCCTCAAGAATGGCAACGCATGGGGTTATCATGGGCGAAACAGTATACTCTGTTATGTTCATGATATTGCTCATGTCTATAGGCGACGGTTACCATTTTCCATCAGGTAGGCCGTCAGCTTGTTTGTCACTCTAAGTTGTATAAAAAAAAACTTAATCAGAGTTAGTTCTTATTATTTAAATACCAACCTGAATTTACATTGATCATTTAAAACTTTATAACTGTTTTATTCCAGGCTAGCATCTTCCCTACTGCAACAATCGGCATCTTCGAAGGCGTCTGAGGAGATCCAGTCATCGATCAAAGAGGTGACATCAGCGATTGTACATTACGTATCAGGATTGGAACCAGCTAACGGTGACATAGACAGGCAGCCATCACCTCGTTCTAGCCAAAAGTTGTACTGGCTTGAAAGCTCTTTTGTTGGTGAGTAGTTTAGTCAGATTGTCTCTTTATGCAATTTATACAAGTTAACAGATCATCTGATAGACAATCGTTAGTGAACTATAGAAATAAAAATGCCACGGATATTAAGAAATATACTGTGATGGTCGTCATACCATTAGTACGTTGGAGGGAGAGGGATTGTTAGTGATGGGGACCTTATCCCCTTACTAGCAATATACTCTGTCAGGTTGACCTCCATGCAGTTCTCCCTGGAAACCATAGCGATTAATTTTTGTTGAATCCGTCAAAATGGGCTAACAGACCCGGTTTCATCTTCATCTATCGCCATTTACTGGTCCTCGATAGCACAGGCGAGATTACGATTCCATTATCATCCATTAAAACCCAAAATACATTGCTATTGCTGAGAACTAAAGTGCCTCTTACTAGCCTCTCATAAACAAATGCAACATAACATTGCAAGTACTATAAGTTTCGCATTTAGCGATAAAACCGCTCATTGTTTTCTCAGTATGGTAATTTTTTGTAATTATTTGTATCTATAATAAGTTTACTACTGTAAACTTTTGGAAGAAACTATAGAGTATCTATCTACTGCTGCTTGTTAGCAAAAATGCAAGAGCAATAGAGGTAACCAAAGGTAAAATCTGGTAAAATGGTCGCTAAATGATCTTATAGTACTAGTATAAAATTTTCATTACGTATAACAACTGAATGTTTTTATTCTTAAACACATTTCGCTTCATCTTCTTTCAAAACTTGTCTCGAGAATAGAACTAATTTCATTATATCACGATAATTCATTTTTTGCGCAAAATCTTATTAATGAATAAACGTTTACAGGTACGAAACCATTGGAGTCACCGCAAACACCTCTGGTAGTTTCAGACGCGCTACCTCCACCCCACCCACGGCCGCCGTCCTCCCTTCGCCTTGACCATCGCGCGGCGCCCGGTGAGCGAGCGTGACCACACCATGTTGTACATTGACGGTTCAGATATACGAATAACGCAACATTCCCCTCTAATGCAGCTTTGTACGGTAAAATTTAAGTTACATAATGGTGACCATACATGATCAAGATTTTCGTAAAAGTTCCAGCAGATTTGAAATGGCATCCAGTAAACTTGACGATGCATAACAAGTTGATCTTGAATATGTACTACTTCGGGTCTGCTGCAAAGGTGATGGGAAACATGATCGTGTATGATCGTCATTAGTGTAACCACAAAACAAGTCTGAAAATAAACTTAGAGCAGCAATCATGCATTTAACTCCATTATCTGAACTTTCAGTGTTCTATTTGTTAATTTTATGTTACGTTACAATATACTCTGTGCGTTTTGTGCTGTTCTTGTATTTAGTTCTTTGTGAAATGAGCACCAGTTTGTAAACTGCGCGTTCATTTGTGGAATATTTGTGTTAGAGCTTTATAGACTGTTTAAGACTCAGGACCATTGCAATACTATTTGCGAATTATTTTTGTGACAATAAATTATGCACTTTTGTATTGTCAACTTCTATTAATTTATATACAAGTGGTACACTATTTCGCATTGTGGAATTGTACGGCACCAGCTTGTAGTGGCTTACTTTTTTATTTTAAATAGGTTTTATTTTATCACTCGTTCTTTATTTAAACTTTGCGAGTAAACATCACAGACGTGTAGAAAGGATATTATCCTTAATCTATGTACAAATGACAAAAAGTTTATCTTTATAATTAATAAATGTCTGAACTAAAGATAATAATATCATAAACCGTTATTGTCCTGTATACCCGCCAAGTTTAAATTTAGACTCCTTACTAAACAAATATAATTCAATGCATTTTTATTAAGTGGGTTCATTATTCTAATTAATGAATTCATCTAACTGTTGTTAAGTGACTTTACTACAAGTTTATAAACACATTGGTGAATATGGTACCTAAAACGATTCAAATAGTCAATAGATAAGATATTTTTTTGTTTTAGTGATATTGCCATAATTATAATCCATAGCTAATATCCATCAAAATCCAGTTCTTTTTTTTTTTAATAGTATCATCCAATGTACAGAGTTAATTTATTTGTTTTATGTGTTTATTTTTAAATTCTTTAGTTTATAGTTTTATGCTAGTAAACAGTGTTGTAAATAAAATATTATGTTGCTATTATTTTAGGTACTAACTTATGAAATATTTTCATTTGTATTTCATTTCAAATACTTTACGTTTATGTACTTTGCTTTTTATATATTCAGTCATAACAACCAAGCTTTAATAAGTCACAAAGTAATAGCCAACGTCATTGCCTACTTTTATATATATAATATTGAGGCAACAGTTATCAGAACCATAATTTAACGTGGTGGTGAGAAGTGACATTTAAGACTGAAGTCTATAAAAATTCAAGTTCCTTCTACTTAAATCACCTCGTAATTTATGTTAGGGCTTTAGTTAGTCCTTAAGTAAATTACACAGGTTCTGATTAGGTTAGAAAAAAAATTTCGCGTACAAAATTCGCACCGCCGAAATAATAAAGTTTCGAATTCGCGCCACGAATGTTTAGTGTGTTCACATTAAACGTTTAGAAATTTAATGCTTCATAAATTTAACAATAGTTTAATCATATTAATTTATTCAGACACCATTCATCTTTTAGCTCTCTACATTCTTCACAATTTCATATTCCAATTAATAATATTATTTATATAATTATTGTCGTATTATATAGTTATGTATGTTAAAGAATCTCGGTACCTTCCATGTAATTACAAATTGAAGACTCAAATATAAAAAAAGGTCTTCAAATGTACCTACTATTATTCGATCAATGTACGTACGTTAGTTAATGTTTTAGTTATAATTATAATGGTTATTGAATATATTCATTTTTATTTTATGCATTTTGTTTTATTTTTATTTTTGTGGCGTCTTTATTTAGACATTATAACAGTAATCTCTTTTCTACGAGTTTGTTACGTGACTAACGGAAGTAAGTATTCATGTTCTTCATAAATGCATCTACATTTTTTTTCTATCCCCTCTAATATTTTTTTATTTTAAATCTATAATATTTAATCTGTAGCCTGAATTTTTTAAAATAAAATTTTGATTTTAGAACACATAGACTAATAATTGCCCTTATTATTCAAAAACGTGTTTTACTTGCTCGGTGGCCAGTCCTCACACATAAGTCATTCCAATATATTTCAATTTCCTTTGCTTGATTAATATACACCTTTTTAATACTATTTTTGCACCAATAACAACTATTTATCTACTACTGCATAACTTAGAGTTACCCCTTAAAAATATTAATCTTTTGACCACATCTCACCATTGATATAATGAGAAAATTTATACATATAAAAAAAAATATAGTTATGAATGACAACATAGACAAAAAAATAAAATATTTAAAAGGATTTTAATGAAATTGAAATCATCATTTTAAGCATTTCTTTTCAACGAGCGTATTCGAATACTTTTTAAAGAAACGTGTCAAAAAATACACAAATTTAAATGTAACCGTAAGAAACGGGGATGGGTAATATTGTAGCAATATTTATATATAGATCCAATAATGGATATATTAAAGTTCAATTCTAATATATAAAATCAAATCAAGAACTTAATCGGAATTCATTCATTCATTCGACTGATATGTGCGTTATCGAAATGGGCAATTCTGCCACTAATGTCTAGTCTGTCTAAAGGAACCTAATATACAGATATCGGAGTGGTACTGATATTAGCTATGCCTAGTTGGAAACGCTGTGTTAGTCTCAAATTGTTTTTATGGACCTTTGTTTCTTTGGAAAATATATTTAGTTACACTGGTACAGTGATTCTCAACCACTGTGCCGCGGCACTTTTGTGTGCCGCCAAATTTTAAAAGTGTGCCGGCAAATTTTGCAAATATTTAAAATTTTTGTTATAAACTATTTATGCAGTGTGTTGTAGTAAGTAAATAATTTTTATCTTTTTCTTTGTGTGCCGCCAAACTTTGAAATCGTTAAATATGTGCCGCAACAAAAAAAAGGTTGAGAATCACTGCACTGCTAGAATTGTTCCTTAGGCTAACCAATTTCAGTCACGGTGACCACTTCGACTCCGTTATTATGAATTTATCAATCACAATGATCATCGTAAGATACGTCTTATACCTATATATTGTCCAATTATTGACCAATAAAGTTATTAAATAACTTTAAATAAATAAATATCTAATACTTATATCGATTTTTTGTTTTTTCTCCGTGTATGTCTGTGACTACTCAGAGAGCGCTACAGTCTAGTAATATTCTTAATTGTAGGTAAAATAGTTGTCTAGTATATAGAACAATATTACATCGATCTCCGTGGTACAGTCGTGGGCACTTTGGTTTGCATAAATGATGTCCTAAGTTCGATTCTCAAATGAGTCAATTTAGGAAGAAAACTTTTTCTGAATTAGCTCGGAACTGAGTATCCCTACAGTTTTTTTTTACAACATACCTTGTGTTATGAAAAACTAGGCAAATATTAATCCTTGCATGAGGACACAATTACAGTTATTATATGGCACTTATTTTTATTTATTATCGATTTTTTTTTTTGATAAATTGGACAATCCGCGGCATTATTCTCTCAAATTGTGGTCAAAAGATTAACAAAACAAGAATACAATTACTTGCAAAATCTGTTTAGTGACCACGTCTGTTCACAGACTGGCAGGATTCCCAGCGATCTCTGAACCTGGGCATAGCGAGGCCGTCTCCCGGGTCGACCACCCTCGAGGACGTGCTAGACTCATTGTTGGGACTACCGTCTCAGCCAACAAGGATACCTACTCCCCAACCAAGTCCTAGGAAATCGTCGAGTCCATATTACTTAATGGGTGGAAAGGTACTTTCATAAGATTCTTATCGCCTCTTTTCGTCCATTAATATTTTCGACCCAAAATAGCTCAAAAAATTAATGTAATCTGTAAAGTTTAAATTATATAGATAGAGCATCGAGAGTCAAAATCAGGTTTGTTTAAAACGTTAGGCTGACTAGAATTGTCACTTTTTTTTTTAATTAAAACAAAATGCTCTTTCTTCACAGTGTTGTAAGGATTGGATTAAAAATTATCTGTCTACCTGTATGTTTGTTCCGGTATCACGCAAAAACTACCGAGTCAAATTGGCCGCAAGAGAAAAAGTTTAAAAAACTGTACCCCTAAATTAAATTATTTATTTATTACAACCGGCAATATGTTATACATATTAATAACATAGGCATAAGGCTGTACTACATAAAATATCGAATCACTTGACAAAACATTGATCTAGATCGAAAAAAAAAAACATGAATAGATTGTGTCCCACAAAAAAAACCGACTGTAGTATATTCTAAAATATTTGTACCAAAGGTTGGCGATATTGTAAATGAACATCCTACATCTCTCTGTAATGGTGTCCTATATTAAAATGCATTTTCGTTTAAAAGCGTTTTTTAATTACAAGGAAAAGTTATTTAAGCGTGCAAAGCACATCCAATGTCTTACAACATTATACCGACGAGTAACAAAACCAGTTATTTTGGTCTAAAAATAAATTACTGAGCCGATTTTGATACAATTTCTAATGCACTGATCTGTAAATATATCCTTTCAGTATATAAAAAAGATTTTACAACTGACGTAGTTATGAGATAACAACAAACATAAAGGAAAATTACAACTGAATTGAGAACTGCCTGCTTTTTGAAGTCGATCGAAAACAATCTTTTCTTTGACATAGTCGCAGTATGGTACTTATTTCGTCCTTACTATATATAATTATTAAAATATGGAATCTTATCTAAGTAGTATCTAAATATGAATACATTCTTAATATCCGCTTATCATGATATTAGTAAGTATAAATTAATCACGATAAAATGTACCGACAAAACTAATACATGATTCTGAAAGATAGGGATCTATATTGTACATAGGTAATATTATTTAAACGTATATCTATTTAACTTTGAATAACCCTTACTCAATTAGTTATAAATGGATTACGATTATTTTTAATGTACCACCAGAAAATAGTAAAAACGGATTTTTTCTACTTTTTCAACGACTTCCTAAAGAAGTCTTTAATTGATTTTTTTTAAATTAATAACTAGGATCTAATTAGTAAATCCTATTTAAATACCTTACCTTTTATATTCTTATTAAATATTATAAATGTGAAAGTTTGTAAAAATGTTTGGATGGCATTCACCTTTAAACGGCTTAACAGAAAAAATATTTTTTTTTATATATAATACCTAAACATTTTGTGCACGGATAGGTTATACACTAACTTAACAATCAAAATACGTCACAGTCATTCAGATAAAACTGCGAAAAACAGCGAATGTTTTGATTATACTTTAGAAATATACATTATAAATCTATATTCTTTAATGGCGTTACATTTTCTTTTAAAATTAAAAGCGTTCGAAACACATGACGGTATTTTCCTCACAGAGTCCTCGGTACGAACAGCTAGCTAGCAGCGGACACAGTAGCAGCTCCCCAGCGTCCCGTTTCATTGGTACTCCGAGCGAGGGTCGCAGCTCCACCACGGACCCTAGTCCAGACCGCGACCGACCAGGTAGGAACGATATGTAAGTCTCGGCCGTTCCAATTTTTATATTTACCTATCACGACTTTACCTAGCATTGAGTAACTTACGCGTTAACGTTTGTCTCTGTTCGATTTATGAATTTTATTAAATAATAAAATATAGATTATTAAAAAATCTTCTACAAAATAAGGCTTATTGAGGTAAAAGAGTTTCTTAATGATAAAATCTCTAGTCCTGTCCCAATAAAATGTCTATCTCTCTCGCTCCCATTATAATGCCTAAAAGGTACATATGTATCTATTCGTTCTATATTTGCATATGTAGTATGAATCCATAAGACAGGTATGTAATAAATAAATTGTGATTTTTATTCAATTCTTGTTTTAGTCGAGCGACTATAAAAAAGCTTAGTACTTTTCTTTTAATACACAATTTTTTTTTTAATGAACGAAAAGACTTGGGTACTACCATATGCTACTGTATGAAAGCTATAACCTATTTTAGATATTATTTTTTAAATTTTATTAAGACGACAATTTTTTTTTTCGCAGATAATTAATCGCCAGAATCGTGCAATTTCAAATTGAGTTACTAACCAAAGTCGAAATTTGAATCTTGCCGATACTGATTGAATGAATAATTTGAATAATTGACTTACACTCTACCCCATTTGAATTTAAATATTCAAATTAGCAACAATTGAATACTTGTAACTAGAATTTTAATCGCGAAAATACCTATTCATAAATCAAACAAAATCAAACGTTATTTATAGTTACATCAATGTTTTGGAGACATGCACCTCACAATCTCCAAACACACTGAATTCGCACCCAATGACCTACGCTTATCTAATTATGAATTTTTCAAAACTTAAGTACAAATAAATAATTAATCAATCAATTAAATGAGTCATTATCTTTTTGACTATTTTTGTTTGTATTGTTATTTTTCATTGTTTGTGTCAAATATAGATAATTGTGTTTTTATTTTGCATAGGTACAATAACCTATCAGTGTACTACTATTGTATTTATTTTAAGCTTTTTGATAATGTACAGAACAGACAAACATCATAGAACAAAGTTGTAAGTACCTACCTGCCTATTTTTAATATATGTGTAGGTGCTCTCCTACTTGTCGATATTGTCATAGTGGCATGGTCATTCCCCGGAGCATGTTTGTCGAATATGTTAATTTTGATTCTGTACTAAAATGTGTGTAAATATCTAAATTAATAATACACAATGGTCCTGAGTCTTAAAGATGTTAGAAGGCGTAATTAAAAAAATATGTGTAATTAATTTTTTTTTTACTATTTCAGGCAAGGATACAGTTGATAATTCTGCAGCAATGCAGGAATCGAGACGGTCGCGGTCGGCGCAAGGCGAGCACTCCCGTCGCAGGAGTGAACCCTTCGCTCAGCCTAGTGTATCTTTCGACCGTCGTACTAGTCTGGACGCCGCAGCCTTACGCCCCTCCGATTCCCAGTTAACCCACCATGATTCCAAAGTTTCCCTTGCCTCCTTACAGACAGAGAATAGTACAGACGAAGCGTTCGTCAAATGCAAATACCCTAAATGTTCTTCTCGCGCTCCTTTAGCAGACGCGAAAAGGCATTACAAAACCTGTCATAATTGTACAACAATGTACTGCTCAAGAGAATGCAGAAGAGCACATTGGGAGAAACACAGAAAAGTTTGTTTACATTCTCGAGCGAGTGCTCTATGCAGACAAATTATATCCGCGGCCAAGGAGGATGCTGATTCGTTGCATCAAATAAGTACAATAGGCCACAAGGGATATTTGAATTTCGGGAGAGGTGTGGTCAAAATCTTTTTCACGAGTCCCGAGGCAGCGGAAAAGTTTACAACCCACGGCTTCCAGTATTTGACAGAGCCTGAATATTTGAAATGGACATCACTGCAACCCAATGAAATGGGTGTGGAATTATATACTGAAGTAGTAAAGTTATGCAAAGCTTACAACCCGGAAACGAGGGTTATTCTATATGTGGCTGTATGTATTATTAGTGAAGTGCCAACAAAAGGCGCTGTTAAATGGGAAAGGCAAATGGTATCAAGATGTGCCAAGTTGCGACTTAGTAAAACAGTTACGGTCGCTATACAGGAGCAGAATCGTCGCCGACACCGAAGAGACAGCAAAAGTACGCCAGATGACAGGGAAACTTTGATTTTAACATCTAAATTGTGCAACGCAGGGGAAAAGAATGCTGCAACAGCTCACAAGTTTAGGGAAATATGCTTCCACAATATATCGAACGAGCTTGAAAAACGAGGGGTCGCATTGAAAAAGCACTTTCCTGAAGTGTATTCCAGATTGGCGGCGTACGTGGACGGTACGAGTGATAGGTTTATTCCTATGACTATATATCCTAAAGATGTGACTAGTGGGAAGTCTTTTATGTGTGTGATCATGCCAGACAGTGAGGTGGACAGTGTTACGCCTGTAGATGGGAAAGTCGTGACGGTAGACGTGGGCGTGGACAGGTCGAAGCACCAGTTATCAACACCCATGTAAAATATTCGGCGAGCTTGTTATTATCTCAAGAAAAGGACCGAGCAAGGTGTTAATGATCATCACGCTTCTCGAAGTCAACATTTTCATAGACTTATTATTTAAAATTTAACATTCGATTATGAATCTCGTGTGTGGATTGAAGTAATGTTTAATGTGCCCTTAAAATTTTATGATTATTTTAGATGATACTTATGTAAAATTAAGTAAGGATGCATACAGGCCGTGTCTTACATTTTTTTTTTTTCAACTTTTTGGAGAGTCAGGAAAAGCTGAAGGAAATTCAAAGACGTGAAACTTGTAAATGCCTTTAATATTGTTATGTTGGCAACATACTTGTAATAAAGTACTGAAAATTTGACGATATAGAGCTATTACGATAACGTCTTGGTTTTAAAATTTAATAATGGATAGTACAAGAAGCAAGATTATAATTTTTTTCAAAATAATTATGGTGCAGGAGAAATGTTAAGTAGATACTCCAAGTTTGCAAAACGTGTCCTACTTTATTGCTTAATAAAATACCTAATTGTTTTCTTCTTTAATATAAATGTGCACTTATTTTACATAATTTAAGAAAATTATACATTGTTGTGTGTACAAGCGTGTTAATAAGTAAATTTTTTGTATTTATGTATACTGAGCATTTATCTTAGTTATCTAGAACTTGTTTCTGCGATTTGACAATAGTTTTTATTAAATGAAATGTATATTTATTGCAAAGCCGATTTATGGCACTGTAAGAAAAATATTTATTAACTTTTTTTTAATGGTAATAGAGAACGAGTATACTTTTATTGTTCAAAAAAAATAATTTTTTATACAAAAATGTAAGCTTATAAATGCATGCGAGCGAATAGTGAGATGTAGGTACTTACTTAAAATATTTCTAACATTTTGTCTTTAGATAGAAGATTTAATACATATTATGAGAATGGAATAAAAATTGAAGCAGAACTTATTAAGAGAGACGAAACTACAAACTGTAGATCATAAACATCTAGATAGAGTATCTCCCTACGATTGCTTGGATAAAATCAACCTTTTTTTAAATGGTAAAATAATAAAAACCTTTATTTTATTTATTTACAGTTTTAATATAATCAATGTTATACTTTTTTTTATAAATACTGACAAGAAATTCGTCGTTATGTTATACTAAATGACAGCATATCGCGTCAACTAAAAATTTTCAATTGTAATAATTATTTGACTGTTTTTTTGGTCATTTTTAACGGTCGAGACTCCATCTAGATGAATGCAACTGCATTGCGCAAAGATGCTTTTAAAATACATAGTTGTTTTTTTTTATATTGAGAATTATATGAGGCAAATGCAATTAACCCAGAGAATAAAATAAAAAATAGTATTATAAAATGATTAATTTACTTTTTCAGTACTTGTTTAAATGTCAATATTTTTATTTGAATGCACAATTAAAATAACAGGTTTAAACTAAAAGTTACATCATAGATGTATTTAGAGGAAGGGGGAGGCAGGTGACTAGTGCCCATCCCATCCCAAACAAGACTGGTGCCATCTCAGAATGCTAACGAAGCTTTACCAAGAGCTAAAGGTTCATTTACGCCTTTTTTAAGGGGCCAGGCTAGAGAAAATTACAGTACAATATCAGATACAATAAAGCTATGGTTTACTAGTGTGGGTGGTTATATCAAGCCGGCAGGTACCTACTTTGGAAAATAGAACTGTTTTATCTTCTCAAGTATTCGATATAAAATGTATATCATTAATATCGTTTAAAAGGAATATTCAAACAATGAAATAAAACTAAAATGTTTCAAGGAAACATGGGACAAAGAAAATTAAACTTTTGTAACCATCTTTACAGCTGAAAGGCTTGAAAATTTTTTACTTTTTTTTTAAGATAATCAGTGACGAACTAAGCCTGTCAGTGGCCCGGGGCAGCAAAGCTAAATGAAGCCCCCAGTTTAAGAAGTTGATATAATTTTACAAACTTTTTATTCAGTTCACATTTGTTTGTGTGTTAATGGTTGCTTAGTTAAAATCTTGCAAGTGAAATTTACATAGGACTTAAATAAACATACATAGAAAATGGATTTAGATGAAGAAAATGAAAGCGTTTGGAGACCCCCTTAGGACCAGTGTCTCGGGGCAGGCTGCCACTTCCGCCTCCTCCTTTAATCCGCCACTGAAGATAATGTTCAGTTTCCTTAGCAGAACACTTCTTTTGTTTAATTTTGTTCATTTGATTTTTTGTTTTTCGGAAAAATACTTAAGAGGTCAAAAGACATAACCGGTAATTTAGTTTTATTTATTGCGACAACAGCATTTTTTTTCTAAATCAAGTTCTGAGCCCTAGATATTTGTTACCTGGCTTGTGATTGGGACTTATATAATTTATCTAACACGAAGTACTTAGTCGCAAAAAAATTTAAATAAAAGCGATTCCATACACAATTGTTATATCGAAACGATAAAATTGTATCTACAATATCTTACGGTAAATTATAAAAGCGCTAAATAATACAGGGTTTCCTAGTATATTTTATGTTTTTTCTTTTTTATTATCTCGCCTTTGTTAGTCTTTTCTAGATTTTTCTAGTTAGAGAACGAGAAAATTGATATAATTGTATAGCACTTATTTATTATTATTATAAAATAATGCCAAATCAATTAATTATGAAAAAACAAAACACGTCAGTACCTTAGACAGAAGATCTTTTTGGAACGTTGTTAAAAATTGTGAGGAGGCGCAGATACCTTTTTAATATAAGTAGGTACGTTTGCTTACATTCCGTAAAATATAAGAAATTATTATCTTATTACCTTTTTAAATATACCTACGTCTGTTACAAATATATATGTGTGACTGCGTTTTAAATGAAACTATTTAATTTCCATACATTCCATTCGTAAGGTTGTTAAGCAAGGCACAAAAATGAGTTACTGTTAAAACTTTAAAGTGCCAATGATGTTACAGCGTAAGAAACATTTCAAGGTAAAATAATGCATATAGGTATCCATTATAAATACCTACTTATGATAAATCTGTCAAAAACATGAATAGGTATCATATGCATAATTACGTCGTATTAGAATAGGTACATTGTGTTATAAATCATAATGATTATTAATTTATTTTCACTGTATTTCAATATGATATAATTACACCCGGATTCATATCCGGATAAGAATATACAGTAATCTATTGACTTTTGTACCTACAGAGTGGATTTGGCTACTTCTGTATGGACAAGTGGCGTCTTATCAGAACTGGTTTAATACTGTACAAACCTCTACATTATTACTACCACATTGTACTATATATTTGTATAATTTTCGACTCAAATATCTCAGCTCGGTGTTATAGTTTCCATAAAAAAATTGATCTTTTTTTAACTGAACTTTCAAATTATTTCTGTATAATAATAATAATTTATAATAATAATATTTCCCTTTCAATTAAAAACGACGCCATCTTTAACATACCTCTATAAACTGTTTAATACATTGCTGTATTATTCTTAGATTGTTGATCATTTTGATATTTAGGTAGATATAATTTGTGAATCCTATGAAATTAATTTTAATACCTGCCTACGAGATAATGAAACATTTTTTAATCTCATAACGATCCATGGATACACATACTACCTATGTACTAGGTGCCTATATTTCTGTATTTTTATTTACTATAAATATTCAGTACTATGTCTATTTTATATTATTTAATAAAAAGAAAATAAATGTAAATATTTATTATTTGTTGATGCAATCATTCCATTAAATATAAATAAATGTACATTAATTTTAATTTTTAAAATTTTGGACTTATCTACTACATTTACCTACTATAAAATATTAAACCTAATTGTAAACGCCTCATATAAAAAAGAAAATATTTCATACATAATTATATTCATAATGTTGCCATATCAATTGTTTTTCATAGTCTGGAATACAGATTTTATATCTAGTTGTCCCTATATGTATTTCAAATAAACGGCCCAGCTAATTAACATTGTATTTATTTAATTTCCCTCGTCTTTATTTTATGCTATTTTGAAAAAGAGAGATTTCTTCATTCGTCTAATCAACATTGTTTTGGTTAAGTATGTTTATCTGCGTTTCGTCACCACTAGAAAGCCGATTTCGATTAATCAATCGATAATATCGATTCAATCAATATTGATTGTTGTTTTGGCGATTATGTATAATAAAACTAGTTTTTACTCACGACTTCGTCTGGTGAACGAGACATACATTGACAGACAAAAAGCAAAGTGACTTATGTCCTTTTTGATCCCAAATAGATAGGTGGGGTAACAGCAAGAAATTATATACTTCAATGATATAGGATGAAGTGAAATCAGTTAGCCCATCGTGAATTCTAAAAATTTTTTTGATGGGTGAAAATGGTATAGTAACCCCACTTGCGCTAATGGGATACGCTGGCGGAGCACCAGTGAAGGGTGATAGATGAGAATGAAAACAGGCCAGTCAGCCCATCATGATAAATTCATCAGGAATTAACCATGATAGTTTTCAGGGAGAACCGCGAGGAGGTCGACTTGGTTGGGTATACTGCTAGTAATGGGATTCTCAGTCTCCATTACTAACAATCTCTTTCCCCCCTCTAAAAGAGATTATTAAAGGCCTAAAAATTTACCTGAAAATAAAAAAGTTTTTATAATACAAGGGGTAAATGAGCATGCGGCTCACCTGATGGTAAGTGACTACCGCCGCCCATGAGCACCCGCAACACCAAAGGAATTGCAGATCTTTTAAAAAGAATATGCTCTATTCTCGAATCATTTAGTAGAATTACTTCTGTTTTTAAATTTAGAAATAAATTAACTCAACGTAAGTGGAACATAAATTTTACATCTATAAGTCGACGTAGAGTCTGTTATCTAGAGTAGATGATTGCCTTAATCTTGATAAGTAAAGTTATCTGTAAGTAGATCCTACTAGGATTTATGAAGACACTAGACAACTTAGTATTAATTACTACTGGTATTAATACTGATTAGATATATGATTCATTTAAAAGATAAATAACTATAATAAAACTAAACCTTGACATAAAATCTGGTATCTTTAAATTATTACAAGTTTTTATGATTGTAAAAATTAACTACGATGGTTTCTAGACAGATCGGGTCCAGATCTCACAGGTTGATATATTACTAACAATGGCCCTGCTAACCTCTATTATAAACATTCGTCTTCCTCCCCTATCTATATAGTTTTTAATGAATGATAATGGAATAGCAACCTCGTCAGCGCTAACGGTATACAATGGCGGGCCATCAATAAGAGACAATTGATTTGATAGGGTATCTTGCTAGTATCCCTTGGAAACCATCATGCTGAATTCCAGGTGTATTCATTACGATGGGCTAACTAACCTGCCTTTTCATTCTCACCTATCAACCTTCACTGGTGCCTTGCTAGTGTATATCGTTAACGCAGGCGACGTTACCATTCCATTATCATCCATAAACTATATTCGGGAGTTTTACAAATTTTGAGTCACCTACAAATATAATTTTTAATCTATACTAGTGCTTAATGTCAGTCGTGACATAAAATTGATATGACAACTGACACCTACAGACAAATCTGACGTCTGACTTTTGCATTCTATATGCATAAATCTCTATCTTCGCACGTCTCATGCTTTTAGTTTGTTTATCGTACAATTAATACGAAAGTTTTTTTACATTAATATTTTCTGAAAAAATATTAAAACATCAAATAATATTAGTACAATGGTGGCGGCGTCAGTTCTCTATGCAGCTGTGCCAGTTTCGGTTATAGTGGCATTAGGTTTATTGCGTAAATGGAGGTCAAGAAAGTGGGGGAAGTGTGCGAGTAATACTTGTTTGCGGGGTAAAACGTTCCTAATTACTGGTGCCAATAGTGGTATAGGATTGGAAACAGCCAGAGCCCTAGTAACTAGAAAGGCCCGAGTGATATTTGCTTGTCGTGATATCGCGAAAGCTAAAGCGGCGGTTGCTGAAATTAGAAAGAAGCAGCCAACCGGGGGTGAATTGGTAACTACATTCATATTATAATGTACACTAGTATGTTTAATCGCCTTGTTATTTCAGTATATTGAGTCAGAAATTGAAGAATATTAAAGTGTTAAATTTGTGATAATCAGATGATGTCTGAGAAAATGTTTTTTATTTGACAGATTGATTTTATTTTGATTATTTTTAGACTGCACTGAAAAATTTATTAATTATATTATTTATTCCTGTTTTATATATTCCTGTATGAAAGCATGCACTAATAAATTAAACATTTCTATTTTTTTTTTATTACAGATCCCTATGCACTTAGATCTAGAATCACTGGACTCCATTGAGAAATTTGTAGAAGTAGTAAAGGCGGGCTTCCACAAAATAGACGTTCTAATTAATAATGCCGGTGTATATGTGCCATTAAATCAAGATCTAAAAACTAAAGATGGATTTGAGATACACTTTGGAGTGAATTACCTGGGACATTTTCATTTGACAAATTTATTATTAGACCACCTGAAAAGAGCTACACCAAGCAGGTAATTTGTTAAGCATAATTTTGTTGTACATAAAGTATTTAATTATATATTATCAAAGATTTATTGAGTTATATTAAATAGTTTTTCATATTATTTTATCTTTAAAATTTCTTAATAAATTTTCTATCATTAAAATCTGAAATTTTAATAAGAATCTTATTATAAGATTAACATTTAAAAAATTATTCAAAAATATTATAAATTGTTTAATTTCTTTTATAGTTAATTCAGATGCTATGCTGTTATTACTTTTAAAATATATGTAATATTTTTATCAACAGAATAGTCATTGTATCGTCGACACTCCACGAGAGAGGTCAAATCAACTTTGCGGATCTGAATCTAAAGGCAGAGATCGAGCACGCAAAGAGAGGGAAGAGTGGTCGTCATAACCCTGGCTACTGTAACTCTAAATTAATGAATTGCTACCATATGAAAGCGTTGACAGAACGGCTCAGTGGAAGTGGAATTGATGTGAGTGCTTGCTGTCCGGGATTCTGTTCTACAGGCCTGTTCAGGTAATTATTGAAGCATATATAGTAGTTATTGTTCTATATAACTAGAATGGCAATCAACCTTACAGACCACTTAATGGAAATTTATTTTCAACTTCACCTCTATGAGCAACATTTATTTTAAAAGTGTCACATACTTTAATGTTATGCCCATACTAATCCCTAATGCATTTTCTTTTTTTGAGGAGTTAAGCAAATTGAAAAATTTTACTGCTTTAACTCTTCCTGTTCCATGGGTGTTGTAATAGGCGACTAAGGGAGCTTAGTGGCCTAGGGGTGGACAGCGGCGTCCCTCTTAAAGCATCACCAAAGCCTAACTGGGACTGTCAACCCCCCTGCCAGGGGGGAAAGGGATTGTTAGTAATGGAGACTGAGAATCTCATTGCTAGTAATATACCCAACCAGGTCGACCTCCTCGCAGTTCTTCCTGGAAACTACCATGGTTAATTCCTGATGAATTCATCATGATGGGCTAACTGGCCTGTTTTCATTCTCATCTATCACCCTTCACTGGTGCTCTGCCAGGGTATCCCGTTAGCGCAGGCGGGGTTACCATACCATTTTCACCCATCGAAAACCCCCCTGCCAAGCTAGCAACTACTGTCAAAACCGCCCAATAGAGGGAGGCATATGTTCAGCAGTGGACAGATAATGGCTGAGATAATGATGATGATGAACCCTTTAAACTAAAATTGCTGCATGGCGATGCAGATGCACATGCATAGTAGAATACATGCACTTCATTGGTGAAATATGAGTTGGACAGAGATATACCTCAGTCACATTCCATGTTTCTGCTGTAGACAATTTTTGTACAAAGAACACCTATATTGTTAGATAGATCTAGACTTATGTCGACTATAAATAGTCAACATAGAATTTATATGTAGCTATCTATATGCTTGTTTATGTATATTCCAAACATCACTACATCTATATGTAGTGATGTTTGCAGTGTTTGTTTATAAATTTGTACTTATATGTATTATTATTATTGAAGCATTATGATGAAATTATAATAAGCTAATTATTGATCTGACCTTAGCAGACTAGGTAAACATTATGCATGGCAGTACAGCTATATTGATTTAAATTATTGTTTCATTTCCAATTTATGACAAATTAAAAAAAAATCTGTTTCAAAGAATTCTTAAAACAGTGATCTCATAAATAATATTTCTTTCATTCGAGATCTCACTTTAGAGTTGTATGAAAGTAGTTCTGATGTGCAACATCTGTATTCCAATCATAATGTAATCAAACAAAACCTTATTCCCTTTTTGTAAAGTTTCATCATCACATCAGCCATCAACTGTCCACTGCTGAAGTTAGGCTTCCCCCATAAGGAGGAGTTTTGCCAATAGTTGCCACCCTTGGCAGGCGGGTTAGTAACTGTAGTTAGTTATTGGTGATGTTTTAAGAGGGACACTGTTGCCCATCCCTCGTCAATTAAGTTCCCTTAGTCACCTCTCACCACACCCACGGAATAGGAAGGGTTGAGCCATTTTATACCAGGACTACATAGCAAAGTTTAATGGATTATTATTATTATTATATATTATTAATCTTGTGCTATGATTATGATCTGTGTGAAATCTGATGAAGTTAGATAAAATTGCATTGTTGATAACAAAACTTTATCAAGTAGCTACCTGATAGCCTTAAGGCTTCTATAAACGAGTGAATTATATATTTTTTTCTGTTCATAAAATAGTAAAAAAATCTTTGCATTTATAATCACAAATCTGTAGTAAGATGTTTATTCTCCGTAGAAAGTTTGTAGTCTGTGCACATTGTAACTGATTTTGTTTTTTGTTCCAAACAGAAATGCTATCAGATGGTATCACTACATTCTAATGGCTCCAGTTTACCTGTTATTTATGAGATCTGCGAAACAAGTAAGTTCTTTCTCGACATACATTCTATATGATAAATATATGTAAATCCACCCATTCAATGTCCATTATAAAAATAAGCACTGATGTACTTCTTAGATTGCCACAAAGAATGGTCCTACATCCTTAAGGACGTTATCTAGACAAGTAATATGTATCGATAAGTATCGATAGATATGTTTTTATTAAAGCACATAAGTGAAAGAACAAGTCGCCGAACATTGCCGTCTCGCTCTACTTTATGTACACTGCAGCGATAACGTATCAATAGACAAATTCAATAACCTTTTGCCATTAAAGAACCTTTCTTCTCCATTGGTTGTTGGTTCTTCGAATTATGTAGGTATATTTTTTTAATGGTCAATAATGAAATGATAAGTAACGTTATACGTTGGGGGGGGGGGGACAGAAATGAGGGATGATAAATGAGAATAAAATGGCAGATCATATAGTCCGTCGTGATGAATACATCCGGAATTCAGCACGATCCTTTCCAGGGTGACCACGAGACGGTCGACCTTATAGTCCGTATTACTAACAGTCCCTTCCCTCCCTATGTGTATATATTAGTATGCTTATACTTCAGACTGTATTGTATTAGTTTTTCCTAAATATTATTTCTTTTGGTTCCTACATTAATATCTTAATTTTAGTTTCCTTTACAAAGTGAATCTCTAAATTGTCTATAGCTCGCGAAGCAGCAGTCGACACTGGCAATACACAAACAAGTCTTTGTACATTGAGGATTACGTATGGATTTTTTTTCTGACAGGGCAGGGTTACTATTCCATTGTCATTTATTACAAAAAAAAAACTGTTTTTATTATGGATTAATTACTTAAGTACAAGCCATGTTTATATTCATAGAATAAAGAGGAAAGATTTGATTGTACGTTTGATAAACTTAAAAATTACTCAACTGATTTTAAAAATTCTTTCACTTATAGAAAGCTACATTATTAGCGAATAACATAGACTATATATTATTTTCAAAAATTCTACCTTAGGTGCAAAGTTAGGTCGCTAGTGACCAATAATTTAAGTAGGTATGATGCACAGTGACCCTTAGATCAACTTTGTTTTGTTTCAAAATTGATTGACATTAACGATAACCGCGCACATTGTTTTCTTAAATTTTGTTCTGTAATTTTATTTTTAATCTATGTAATCTATATAAATGTAGAAAACAAAATAAGGGTATCTTATCGTACTTAATCTAGCCGATATTGATTTCAACAATGATTTTGATATTAATGACTACGTATTTTGTATAGAATGTATGTATGTATGTAATACTACAATCTACATCCTATAAAAACTTCACATGTTGACTATCTATTTGACTTATTTAAGATTATTTTCCAAATTGCTGGCGAAATGAAAGAGGCGTTTATTCGCTCTTCAACCTATCTTTGCTTTTATAGCTGACGCTGAAGATCCTGTATAGATACCCACTCCGGGGTGAAAAGGATTGTTAGCAATAGAGTTCAATGGAATTACGCTATATCTTATTTATCAAATTAGAGCAAACAATATTCATTTTTTGCAACTATGTTAAATTTCATTAAAATTGGTTGATCAGTTTTAAAAATTAGGTGAATATACCATAACACGAGAATTTTATTTAATTTCCACTTTTATCACTATATATTAAATTATATTGTATTTAAAAATATATTTTTATAAATAAGTTAGTACTTATTGTACAATGTACACTTAACGGGACTAGATGGCGTTGTGTTTGTGAAAAAGTAAATGGAAAACAATAAAGCTTTCGTTTCGTTCTTTACAGGGAGCGGAAACAGTAGTGTACTGTGCTAGTGAATACAGCATCGAAGGTGTATCTGGCAGGTTCTACAGAGACTGTGCTGAGTATGAATCGAATTACTCATTTGATAAAGAAGTGGAAACAAAACTCTGGAATATCTCCGAGGAGTTGGTGAAAGCAAGAAAACCAATCCCGATTGCATAAAAATTCATTTATAGACAGGTTTGGTGTTTAAAAGGCATGGGTAAAGTCGCTTTTGCGCTATATTGAATCGTCACTATATATTGGTTTTCAGTATCTAATGTAACTATATATTGGTAGTGTAAATTACTCTAAATCCAAAGTAGTATCAGATGGTAATATTATTTTCAACATTTCGATTTTTATTTATTGTATTTTACATATATGTTAATAGTCAGTAAATGTATTGTCTAATATGTATAAATACATTTTAATATATTTCAACCCATATTTATGTACTTAATTTAGCTCTAAATAAATAGTGATTGTGTAATTTTTTCTCAGCCTTATATACTTATTATTTTAGTTGGCACAAGTAAGTTACTGGGAAAAAAAATCTGTTTCGGAATAAAAAATAATTGCCTATCGTTCAATATATATTCATTAGATATTGGACCAATATATAGGTATAGTAACTGTATACTACATGTGTCGCCCATGCTTTGTGTTTAACTTCCTAAAGCCACTAGTGCCATCTTTAGTCTACTGGGATCTTAATACTGTTTAGGGATTTATGTATGTCATAATCATATTCCTTTAGTGTAAATATCTTATGTATAAGTATGTACAGACATAATTGTTTGTAGGTATAGATAATATAATATGTATAAAGAAATACAATTGGATATTTTTATCATCTCAATGTTGATTTTTTTTGTTTTGTTTTGACATTGATAATAAGCGTAAGCATTAATGTAATTAAAGAATTGGCCATTTTCTACATTTAATTTACAAACATAAATAATTAATCCAAAATTTCTAAATTAATAATTTCTTTGCTAACTTATCAAATTAGTTATAAACAAACGTGCCAATTGTCTATGGAAAATAATTGTTATTACAAAAACAGGAAAAGGACAACTTAATCGCGATTATTGTACGAAACGAGGTACAAAATATAAAAAGTTTACATTATGGAGTTTTGAATTTATTTACCTGCATTTGGAAATATTAAAATATTTACTTTTATAATATTTTAATACCCAAATAGCTAAGTGATGTCAGTTTCAATCTCGTCTGATTTAGCGGTCAATATTTCAATTTAATATTATGTTATAAAGATTCGTTCAGTTGTTTTTTTTGTCCTTTTTATATGAGACTAGGTTGCTATGTTAGATATTCAATTCAATTCAATCATTTATTGCTATTTCATGTTGTAACAATAGAAGGTCTTAAGTTATTAAAAGTAAAGAATCAACATGAACCCTTGAAGGGCGCTGCAATCGCATTAATAAATATTTATGAATAGATATTTATTTAGTCACTTACCATCAGGTGAGACGCATGCTCGTTTGTTTGTAAAAATAAAATATTAAATATATATGTCCTCTTATATATAAAATGTATCATAGAAATCGCATTCCTGGAACTATATTACACAGGAATTAATACTGAATATGTATATGTAGATATACTATATAGAGACTGGTTATATATTTATAATGATCTGTACATATCCAAGGTTAGGTAATTGTAGTGATATTTTCCAAAGATGTAATTTTCTACACCTGTTATTATTTATTAAATTTGTGGGTATGAATATTAGTATTTTTATTTCTAACTTAGTAATTGAGACTGAGAATTCTATTGCTAGCAATGGTCAACTAGGTCGACCTTCTAGCGGTTCTCCCTGGAAACTATCATGGTTAATTCCTGATGAATTCATTATGATAGGCTAACTGGCCTGTTTTCATTCTCATCTATCACCCTTCACTGGTGCTCCGCCAGCGTATCCCGTTAGCGCAGGCGGCGTTACCATACCATTTTCACCCATCAAAAAAAAACCTTAACACTAGAAAAATAATTAAAAATTGTGTCCTACAAAAAACTACTTGGATTGTAACAAAACCAAAACCAATTAATTAGATCTAACAACTGAAGTACTAAACTAATTTTGAATAAACTTCAATGGATCTGTAAGTATAAGTATTCAGATAAGAAAAAAAAAAAACAATTTTTCAAATCAGATTACAATTGACGGAGTTATAAGGTAACAAAATAATATATTACAATTGAATTGAGAACCTCCTGTTTTGAAGTCGGTTGAAAAATTAAACACAATGCATTTAACAAACCTTTATTTACGTCAATATTGTAAAAATATTAAGCATTTACAATTAATATTTAATTTCATATTTATTACAAGACAGAATGAATTTCACATGAATTATAATTTTCTAGAACAGTTTTATGAGTAAAATATAAGGCGCTGATCTAAGTTAGTTACTGTCTAATACTCTCAGATCGTTTCCTTTTTAATATTGTAAATGATAATTCTGTTTCGTGTTTTCATAAATACTTCAATTTAAATCCAGAGGTAGTTTTGTATATAAACTAAAATTATAACTTGACATAATGAAATCAAATAAAAAAAACCTCTACATAATACCTACTAGTCTGTTATCAGAGATGATATTGCATTTCACCGTTATGTGAATATTTTTGCGTAATTTTCAAAAAAATAATATTGTTCCAAAAAAATTCTTTTAATTGTGGCAAATCCAGTTGTTTTATTTTAAAAAAAATAAAAGTAGATTGCTTTGGTACCTCAGTCCCATTCGTGTTTCTACCGTGAAGCAGTTGTGTTTGCATGGCTGCGTTTCGGTTTGAAGGGTGGGATATGGCGTGAATTTACTGGGTACAGAGGAATAACACCTGAGTCCTCAGGAATGGCAACGCATGGGGGTGGGTATCATGAGCGAAACAGTATACTCTGTTATGTCCATGGTACTGCTCATGCCTATATGCGACGGTTATCACTTTACATCAGGTGGGCCGTCAGCTTGTTTGCCATTCTAAGTTGTAAAAAAAAACCAAACTACTACACCCGTTTTAATGAAAATTTCTATGGAATTAATCTGTATACCTTTTCAGAGTTCTTTTATGTGGTAACAAAAAAAAAAAAAAAAATACAGCTGAATCGAGAAACTCCTTTCTGGAATCGTTTAAAAGTAATTACATTCATCAATACATTTTTAAAATTCTTGTAGTCGCGCATAGTGGACCTTGGATTTCGTACTTATGTAAATACAAACATACTACCTACTTATTGAAGGCATGAAATGATTAAATAGTCAATAATAGGTAGGTACATTGTTTTAAGTTTTTGAGAAACCTTCAAATATAAAAAAATTATGTGGCACTAGCTGTTTTTCGCAGCTTTGCCCGCGTGAGTCAGTATATATACGAGTAGTAACTTGTGTTTCGTTAGGATATAACCTACCCGTGTACCAAATTTCATTCGAATCCAGTCTAGCCATTAAATCGTGATTGAGAAACCAACATCCGAACGTAATTACAAACTTTCACATTTATAATATTAATATAAATATATTAAGAGTAGTTTATAATTACTCCTCTCCATCCAAAGGTAGGTTGTCTGGAAGAGATCGCCCATTGTTTTCTCATTGTGATTATTTCTTGTAATTGTTTATATTTATAACAAGTTTACTATTTTAATCTTTCGGAGGAAACATAGAGTAGCTACCTATCTATATATAATTACATAATCGACCATTTAGATACGACTCCACTAAACAAACGGCAAATGAATCAATAGATGTTTCCTATAGTATAGGCATTACAAGAGCTTACATTACAAGCTTTCTTATCAATTTAATGTACTTTTTAAGCATAATTTAAAAAAAAATTGCATTTTGCATTCCTTCTCTATATAGTTTAAGTGTGCCAAATTTGATACTCTACCGTCCGCGCAATTTTCGTAAAAAGGGGTATAAAATTTTTGCTTCACGTATTAATATATCGTCATAGTCGTAGAATACTGACGGATCTGATAAATATTACATATATAGATCCGTCAGTATTCTACGACTATGACGATATAGATTATAATTTTAGTTTATGATGGTCCATAAAATAGTAATTTCGCGAATATATCAAAATAAAACATAGATTGAGAGTTAATTTTAGAGGAATGGCAATTCAGAATCGATACCAGTGTGAAACAAAAATATAGAACTGAAGTCCTTGTTCTTATTTATGAAATAATAATCTATCGCTTTACGCAATCGCTAACGCTTATCTTATGCGTAGTTACAATAACTTCTTCATAATCATACCTACATCAGATAAATAATTATAAACTGAGAGCAATATTTGGTGTTGCGTAATCGAATTTCAGTTACCATGCGTATAAAAATTAATATTTTTTATTTTAATTATTTATGTCGAGTTTACTCGTGTATTTTTATTCGGGGATACTCGACTTATGGATATGTACGGATGATAATGGAACGGTAACCACGACTGCGCTTTCGGTACACACTGGCGGAGCACTAGTGAGGGGAAGCAGGTCAATTGGCCCATTTTGACGTATCAATAAGAAATTAATCACGATGTATTCCAGGAGGAACTGCGTGGAGGTTGACCTGATAATGTATATTGCTAGCAATGGAATTGCTTATCTCCATTACTTACAAAACCCCCCCAACCCCCGTCCACCCCGAAGTTCACGGTAGTGGCGAGCAGCAATACTATAATTATTCATATGTTAAACGTGTTTTTTTTTAATTGACGACCTTGGTGCCTTAACAGTTTAACATACTGCTTTACCTATTGATCATTATGGACTCGATCACTGCGCTATTCTTATTTAATGGGATGGAAATACTATGACAACCACACTTGTATACACTGGCGGGGCACCAGTGACGTATGATAGATGCAGGCATGTCAGAAGACGACAGAACTGGTTTGAGGATTATAGCCATTTTTAATGAAATGAAAATTCATCAAATTCACATGTTAAACCGGGGAACCCATCGTGGTAAATTCCTTCCTTCACGACGGACCTGTCTTCATCTTCACTTGTCGTCAGTCATTGGTAGCCTGCAAGTATATATTGATAGCGTAGCCGGGGTTACCATTCCATCTTCATCCCATAATTCTTAATTCGGATTATAAATGTGAAAGTGAGTTTTTTTTTTTTTAATTCATGGTTAATGGAATGGTAACCCCGCCTGCGCTAACTGGATACCCTGGCGGGACATCAGTGAGGGATGATAGGTGAATAATGAAAAAAGCAGGTCAGTCAGCCCATCGTGACGAATTCAATGATAAATTAGTCACGATGGTTTCCAGGCGGAACCGCGTGGAGGTCGACCTGATACGGTATATTGTTAGCAATGGGAACTAACCTCCTCATTACTAACAATCCCTTCCCCCCATGTGAAAGTGAGTTTGTTTGTTACCTTTAGAGCTTCAACGGCTTAATCAATCACTATGAAATTTGGTATACACGTACTAGATGGGATGGAGAAGGATATAGGCTTTTTAACCCGTTCAGTTTTTTTTTATACCATTGAGGTGGCAAACAAGCATACGGCCCACCCGATGGCAAGTGGTTACCGTAGCCTATGAACACCTGCAATACCAGAGGTATTACGCGTGTGTTGCCGACCCTGAAGAAACCTATTTACCCCCTTTTTGAAAAACCTCATGCTGTAGTATCTTGGGAAAACCTCGGCAGAAAGTTCATTATAATTTAATTTCAGTAATTATATCCCGGCCACGTGGACAAAGTCGTGAATAAAAGCTAGTTGATTCACTGCTAACTTACCCAATAAACTCTATTGTAAGTACGGTAACTGTTACCTTCTAATTAGCGCTAACTGCATGTAACAAGTTATTAGCAACAATTTACGAACTGCTCGATGCCAACAAATAGGTTGTTCCGAAACTACAGATAAGTATCTACTTACTAAGAGAAACACCGAAATCGTTCTTACAAAATAAATATAATTTAAGACCACTTTGTAAACATTAAAATGAAGGAATATATACAATACTATAAGCAATGATGGACGTCACAACAATTAGGTTAAACGCTATGTTACGTTCTCGTAGGTAAAGCTATGTACATTTAAAAATCATAGATAAAACCCCTTATAAATAAAAATGACAAACCTCTTATATTGTAGCTATTGAAATGTTTTGTCTTTTTCCATAATACTAATATCTCAATTTGACAGATAGTGACAAAACTAACAGGTTTGTAGGATGTTTTAGTTTTTATGAATAAGGGGGGTTATGTATGTATACACGGTGTACACAATATATATTTATGTACTTAACCTATTACATGACTATTTGTTTCTATTGTAAGCAATCATTTACAATATTTCTGTATATATTAATGTTTTTTTTTATGCTTGCTATATTTAGTAAACAATGTTATAAAATTGTGAAATGCTCAAATAATTACAATAAAAGACTATTTTAAATAAATCTCTGTGTATTACCTTACTTTTAACCCTTCTTTGCATAATGGTGGAAATTTCCATCATAACACTGAATGCCTAAAAATTATATAAAAGAATATGTTCACTTTAAGTTGATTGTGTCTGGATACCTTTTTAATGTCCATTGCAGGAAAAAAAAAAACATAGCTGTCAAATTTATTTTTTAACCATTTTTCTTTTAACTTTGAACATGAATTATATCACCTTGATTTATTTTACCAAAAAAAAAAAACATGCAAAGAAGGGTGAAATGAAAAATTTTAAACAAGTGTTAAAATGATTTAATAAGTATACCAAGTATAAAAAGAAAAATATTAATTTATATCTATTTGATCTATTGAGGCAGTAACTTTACAATCACATTTGACAAATTTTTAAAAAAACATGAGTGTATTTAAAATTTATAAACTATTACGTATGTATTTAGATAATATTCGATTCGAGATTCGATATAAGATAGATTGTATTCCTTGATATATTTAATAACCGTAAGCACCAAGCAGAGCGCTGAACGCACCATTAGCACTTGGTACCATACCACAAAGGTGGCAAATAAACTCACATGTATACATACAGCTCAGCCTAATTGAAACTGCGTAGAGATGTTGCATCTCTGTGCATCTTCTACCGAATTTATCATGGGGAGTGCTCTGAAGAATTGTTCGGATTGATACCTGCTGCAGATTTTCACCATCGTACAACCCGCCATAAACTAAAATTTCATCCCAACCATCTGGACGAGTGGCGGTCCTCCACCGTGCGTTTTTCAAGGCACTTTCTTCCACGCACAACCACTCTTTGGAATCAACTTCCAGCAGCAGTATTTCCGAACCGATACGACAACATAACCTTCAAGAAAAGAGCATATTCCTTTTTAAAAGGCCGGCAGCACACCTGCAATGCCGTAGGTGTTGTGGGTGACCATGGGCGGCGGTAGTCACTTACCATCAGGTGAGCCGCATGCTCGTTTGCCCCCTGTGTTGTAAAAAAAAAAAAAAAAAAAAAACTTCTGGATGAAGTCGAAACATTTGTCAGAAAATTATTATATTCATATAAATCCGGGAGGAAAGGCATTGTTAGTAATGGGGTTTAACTGGCCCTTGCCAGCAATATACTTAGCTATATATATATAATAAATTATAGTATAATTTTAAATATGAATAACACTGCTTTGTTTATATTATTGATACATACCTATGTGCTTCTTAATAATATGCTAGGCACTTAGTGATACGAATTTATTTCCTCGATAGATAGCTCGAAAATGTATTTCTCGAGACTACGTATTAGTTACTGATACTGGAATCGAATCGGAGGCGCCATTATTTTAAATTTATCTCTTAGCCTTAGTCAAACCTATTTTAGCTATGGTACTGTTATGTCTCTTTCTCATGTGTCAAATTCCCAATTTGAAAGAAAGTGACAGAAACAGTGTAATAGGTTATAATAAGTTTGTAGGTTTGTTTTTATGAATAAATTGATATTTTTCCAAAATTACTGTTTCATGAACAATCATAAGGTAAATTATAATAATTTTGATATAAATCTCTTAGAAATTTAGTTCCTTAGAATAATGGTTTCGCTGTAACGTCAAATTTAAAGATAAGTTTATGGAAATTAGCCCTCAGAATCGACCCCAATGGATGGATATGGTTTATTTGTACATTATAAAGAGTCAAACAGGACAATATATATATTAGTATACATCTAGTAATGATATTCAATACAGTTTGGTATATTCATTATAATCTAATTGTAATCCAAATATATATACAAAAGATCCGAAGTCAATTGTGGCAAAACCAGTTATTTTGATTAAAAGATTTTGATAATATTTCGATGTGACCAATGTGTAATTAATATAATTATATAATGTAATTAATATCCTTTCAGACAAAAAAAAAATGTTCAAATCAATTTACAACAGACGGAGTTATGAGGAAACAAAGAAAGAAAAAACAAACCGAAAAAAAAAAGGAAATGGGTACAAATTAGGTATAAATTAGCTGACCATACTATTTTGCACTCTATCGCCATCTAGGCGTCCAATTTTTGTGAAATTTCGAATGCAAACAAGCTGACAGCCTAATTGATGGAATAATTTATTTCTTAAGTTGGAGCAAATAATACACATTTAAAAATTTTATCAATATTTGTTGAGCGATATCGGAAATTAACGTCAGGGAGGCAGTCCGTTATAAAACTAATAGCCAAATCCTTGGGTAATATGGATAAAAACATATTCCACTGACACCAATTTATATAAATATAAATATTCTTTATTGCACTTGAACAGAAGATACAGCGATAGTTTAACAAGTTGTTAGGGTGGACCTATCTCTAAAAGAGATCTCTTCCAGCCAACCAAAGGCAGTTAGAGAGAAATTAATAAGCGGGTAATCTAGTGCAGGAAAGTTACAGGAAAAAAGGTATACAAGTATTTATACAATTGGGATAAGGGCAGGAAGAAGATGGTTTCGAAGATAGCCTGAACGAACATCTTGACACGGGATTTTTATATAGTAACATATAAATTTAATTATAGGTATTTGAATATATAATAGTCTTTGGTTTGATATAAATTTACATATAAGAAATGTGACAAAAAAAAAGTATCAACAAAAAAATAGAGGCGAATCTTTCCAATTGTGGTATCTAAGTATAAATTAGTATTCTGTAATAAAATTCAATGTTCCATACGATAGAAATTATTTATTTATTATGTTAAAAAACTTTCAACAAGGCCACACCCATTCCCTTATCCTAATATAAGTATTAACTTCAAATTAAAACCTAAATTATAATAAATTAAACAAGAATTTATTATCATTTCATTTAGTTAATAAATTTCAACCTGATATGAACTCAATTTTATTATTACAAATAAAAATAGATGGTTTTTTAAAAACATCAAAATAATAGTAAATAAAATAAATGTCTTTTTATTAATAATTAAGTATCTTGTCTGTACAAACTGGGAATTTTACATTTTTCATGGCTTAAAAAAGTATTACATTCAAACCAAGTGAATAAAATAAAAACGATTTCGCAACATAATGAGAATGTTTATTCTCGATACATTAAAAAAAAACTATTTAACAAGACTGATATACAAAGAATGTATAAGTTATATGTACTGACGATACTGATATATACATATACAATATAGTAATAAAATTAAACTAATAAAGACAATTACATTTATACAACAACAATTCATATGAATTATAAAATATTACAAAATAAAAAAAAAAGAATATTTGAGATTAGATACATGAAACAATATAGATAGATACTCTTTATTGTTTCCTTCATGAGATTACAATTGAAAAATTATTATAAATACAAACAATTATAATAAAATATAGCATCGAAAAAATAACTGGCGACCTCATCGCTAAGAGTAATATTTTCCAGGCAATCTTTAACTGGAGAAGAATAATTATAAACAGTTTGACTGGAGGCAGGAATATATATATACACAAATTCATACAATATATTTACAGAATAGTGCTCCGCCAACGTATGCCCCGATGGCGCAGGCAGAGTTACAATCTCATTTTCAACCATAAATAAAGAAATACCTTTTCAGAGGTTGATGGGAGTAGTGTTAGAAACTCTGTTTACGATTCCTCGCTAAATTGTAATGGAGATTCGTTCTGCAAGAAATCAGCAAGTTCTCTTGTAACTCGCAAATAAATAAATAAATAATCATGTTCCACAAACATTATTATGATTTAAAAACTGAATTTGATAAAATCGTCATAGTCGTAGAATACTGACGAATCTATATACGTAATCTTTGTCAGATCCGTCAGTATTCTACGACTATGACGAAATTCCTATAGTACCAATCTGTAAGCATATCTTTCCAGATAAAAAAAAATCCAAATCGGTTCACAACCGACTGAGTTATGAGGTAATAAACATAAAAAAAAAAACAACCTAATTGACACCATCTTCTCTCTCTTTGAAATCAATTGAAAAACGTTGGTGCAGATTTTAATATCTTCTCTTATATAATTTTAATACTAAGCCTTTTTTAATTATGTAGATGTTAGTATAATATAAATAAACCGTATTTATCTTGTTTTTCATAGTACTGTCTTGATACAAATATCGGTATATTTACAATATATTTAATTAATGCTTAAAGGAATGTAAAACTAACTTATTGAAATAAATTATATGTATAAAGAAAAAAAATTAAGTAAATTATTTTAAAAAGCAACCAATATCACAACTTAATACATTTTTCACGAATATTTAGATATTCTATTAAGACAATATTTCGTAGAATTTTATTTTTTCTAAAACTTAATAAAATATAAGGAATGTAAAAATTGTATGGCGCAAAAAGGAAGCTATGTAATAATAGGGTGTTAGTATTTAAATAAACTAAATAAAAAAAAATAACTACTAAATAGAATTGATACCTCTATTTAAAGCTAAAGTCGTGTTTATATTAAATTGGTGCATTTTTTTCTTATAAAATCTAATCCACTTATTCATAAAAACTAAAAACTATTTTAATTATAAGAGTGTTTTGTCAATTTCAAATAAAAAATTTTGTGCAAAACAAGAGGACAGACCACTTCAATTAGGGATGGGTAATATACAGCAATATCTAATATATTTTAGTTCCAATATCTATTTAACATTATAATAGAATGTAAGATAGAAGGAAGGAGGGGAAGAAGCTGACCAAGGCATAATTACATCAGTCAGTTCAAGGAAAAAGGTGTTGTGTCGTGTCAAGAGGTGAAGAGACTCACTGAAAATCGTAGGTAGTGGCAAAAGATCCACTGACAAGCGAGCAGCTCTTATATAGGATAGGTAGATCATGGGCCCAACAACAAATATGCTAAATATTGGTTTTCCAATTTTTAATGTCGAAATGAAAGAACCCGATCGAAATTACGGTACGGGCGATATCGGAATGGGTAATGACCTTCCCCCCCATTAATATATAGATACAAAAGAACCCAATAGATAGATATAGGAGTGGTACCAATATTACCCTTGCCTAACTTCAATAGGTAAAACAAGTTTATAAACATGTGACATTTTTATGAATAAATGGGTATATATATATATATATATATGTATATGTATATTTATATATATATATATATATATATATATATATATATATATATATATATATAACTTGATCGCTAATGAAGTATCTAAATACGTCATACCTATATAAATTTATATTATTGTGCTTTCATTTTTTATATAAAATCACACTTAAGTTAATTTTGACTTTTTGACTGTCTTTTATAAGATATCACATACGATATTATCAGAGACTGTTTAAAAATGTGTAAATGGAAATCATTAGCATCTTTTACAGGAGTGTTCTATCTGCAAAATGTACAACCCCCCCCCCCCCCCTAACTAAACATGATTAGAAACATCATAAAAAAATTTACTTATTAATTATTTTTTAATCGAAAGCACACTAAAGATCGAGGCCTATTAAACATTTACAGCACTCTTGTTATTTGTTATAACGTTTATTTTTCCTATCCATTTTTCCCCGATATGACTTGGTATTTGTGTGCATTTGCCAAAAAGAAATTTCGGAAATATAAGTGGTAAAGGAGAATTTCGTGTACTAGTTTTAAAATTGAAACAACAAAGAACACGTGCTGGCACGAAATAAATACACAATTTGTAAGTTTTTTTTTTAAAAAAAAAAAGGGTCAGTTTCAAATAAACAATGCCTTAAAAGGATGCTTAATGATTTCAATTTTAATATATAGATATAGTCTACTACTATGTATTTATAGGCAATTTTAATCACTACCAATTTCGAATTAAAGTCGTCAATGGTGTGATTATTCAAACAGTGATATTAGAGGCACTATTTTTTCGATCCATCCTTTCCTAATTCTAATATTAGAATAGGATATAATTATGACAATGTTAAAATCTTAAATTAGTACTGAATTTACAGTCACGTAAATCTAATAAGATCTATATAAGTTCAAACAAAGGAATATTGATTTAAGAATCATACTATTATTTGTTCTTTCAAATTTGACTAGTAATAAATTTCTATGAAGCCATTTAAACTCTTTAAGTATACAACTTAAAAGTGTATGTGATAAAATAGTTTCATCTCACTTACACATTGTTAATATTTAACAGTGCAAGAGAGACCGCCTTAGGGGTAAATTCTTATGTACTGGCCGATTTAGTTTAAAAGGCAAATATGGAGTAGTGGTCCTAAGATATTTTGATGTTGCTAAAGAATAGTAGTTTATACGTCACTGAACCGAGAGCAGCAATTCGCTCGGAGCGCCGACGTGGCTCTCGAACCATGTAGTGTGACGGTATCGGGGTGATGCAGCATGCCGAGCTCTTTTTCCGCCTGTTGTTCTAGTTCTGCCCATCTGAGGAACATAAATGATCTTTTCATACCTTTTTATCCGCAAATAAATAAAAAAAAAAATAACTTCATCGATTGTGACAAAACCAGTAATTTTTTAATTAAAATAACTGATTATGTCCGATCCGATTTTTGATAAAATTTCTATGGGACGAATCTATAATATATTCTTTCAGATAATAAAAAAATCCAAATTGGTTCTGACAAACGGAGTCCTGAGAAAAAAGATATAAAAAATACAACCGAATTGAGAACCTTCTTTTTTTGAAGTCGGTTGAAAAAGAATTGCAACTTCAATTGTGACAAGAAATACAGAGAATTACGAGATGTTTCGTATATCACTTCGAGCGCGTATATTCCTACCAGGACATGAAAAAAAGTTTACTAAAGGATCAATATACCGTATTTTGCCGCATTTTAAACTCTTTTTCACTATTGTCCTGTAAACTATTCCTTATATTTTCGCCTACATGTTTATGAATTGAAAGTTAATATTGATAACGGAAAATGTTTGTAATGCGGTATAATAAATGTTAGCCGTCGAGAACGGATGCCCTTAGATGCACTGGAGGATATACGAGCTCATTAGATTGAAAACATTTGAATTTAGAACGTGGAATCGTTTATAGATTTTACTTCGCAATTATCACGTTTTTGCGTAAAGAGAAATGGCGGCTCCAATCGTCACAAAAATGTTCAATGGCTCATGCATCGATTACGAAAACTGTATGTAAAAAAATAGCTCTGAATATGTATAGAACGCAAATAAGTAACATCATAAATTATGTACTTATTTCTTAACTAACCAGTAATAATGAAACATATAAGCAAAATTTGCATAAAGAAACGGTAACGCTAAAAATAGATGAAGAAATTTAATATTTACACTAATTATAATTCTCAAATTCCAGGTGGAATCCTCATTAAAATCATTAGTAAGCTTTGAAGGGAACGTTCTATATTTTCATAAGGTTCTAATTATGACGATTTTACTCTATACATAATTATGTAAAATATATAATTCCAAACGTAGCGTGAAAAAGCATTTTCAGTGAGTCGACATAGAGCGGTCAACCGTTGAGAATAAATCATTCTCTTTTCGGTTGATCGTATTTGTAAACCATATTGGTCTGTATGTTAGCTCAGAATACTGTGGTCACATGTTGTTTAAAAATACGTTAATTTCCACTTTACTTTGTAGAAAAACCGTCTGCTTTGTTATCTCTGTCCCACTCGTGTTTCTGCTATCAAGCAGCTAGCTGTACTTGCATGGTTTCATTTCGGATTAAAGAGTGAGATATGGCAGTGATATTTCAGTGTACAGAGGCATAACACCATAATCTTTATTCTTAGTAATATTGATTATCAGTCTCATTGCTAGTAGTATACCTTGTCAGGTCGACCTCCTCGCGATCCCACCTGAACACCATCGTATTTAGTACTAGGTGAATTCATCAGTATGAGCTAATTGACCTGCCTTTTCATCACTTAACATCTCTCAACTGGTGCCCCGTCAGTGTATCATTAGCCATTCTATGATTATGATTATACAATAATCATACTTTATAATAATCATATTTTATCAGAGGGAGACTTTGTACAAAAGTCGATTGCTTGGGTACCTCTGTCCCATTCGTGTTTCAACCGTGAAGCAGTTGTTTGCATGGCTGTGTTTCGGTTTGAAGGGCGGGATATGGCGTGAATTTACTGGGTACAGAGGAATAACACCTGAGTCCTCAGGAATTGCAACGCATGGGGGGTATCATGGGCGAAACAGTATACTCTGTTATGTCCATGATACTGCTCATGTCTATAGGCGACGGTTACCACTTTCCATCAGGTGGGCCATCAGCTTGTTTGTCATTATAAGTTGTATAAAAAAAAATACACAACGCATGTATTCTGTGATATCCAAAGTGATGTTCATACCTATAGGCAACGGTTGCCACTTTCCATTTTGTGGTCAATCAGATTGTTTGTTTAGTATTATGTATTGAATAACCTCCTTATTTATAAAAAACTAAAACCTTGTACAAACCTACTATAACTATTTTATCAAAATCGTTTCAATAGTTTAGTATTCGGGGGAAAGGGATTGTTAGTAATGGAGACTGAGAATCCCATTGCTAGCAATATACCCAAGCAGGTCGACCTCCTCGCGGTTCCCCCTGGAAACTATCATGATTAATTCCAGATGAATTCATCATGATGGGCTAACTGGCCTGTTTTCATTCTCATCGATCACCCTTCACTGGTGCCCCGCCAGCGTATCCCGTTAGCGCATGCGGAGTAACCATTCCATTTTCATCCAATAAAAAAAAAATAGTTTAGTATTTAAAACAAAATAACTGATTCTGTCACAATTGAAAAAATAACTGGCTTTGTCACAATTGAAATAGTTTTTTTTTGGGACATAATTTTTAATTATTAATTAAAGCACGACACAAAAGAGACATACGTGTTGTAAGTCTGAAGTATTTATCTATCTTATGACGTAATTCTCAGTTGGTTAGTTTAATACTAGTATTTGACAGAATACCTACTTAAGATTACTTTTTTATACAACTTAAAATGGAAAACAAGCTGACGAGTCAACTGATAGCAAGGTGGTGACCATCGCCTATAGACATGAACACTACTGTGAACGTGATATAGTATACTACTTTTGTAGACTACAGTTATGAACTAATTTCTTACTAATATAAATGTAAAACCGACGTAGCCCGAAGTATAAGCAAGATGAACTGGCAATGGGCTGGTTACATAGCTCGAAGAACCGACAACCGTTGGGGAACAAAGGTTCTTGAGTGGCGACTCCGTCCAAATGCAGTATAAGATGACACCCCACTAGATGGAGTGACGAGCTTAAATGCATTGCAGGGAGTCAGTCGATGCAGGTGGCTCAGGACCATTCTTTATGACAGTCTATGGGGGAGGCCTACGCCCAGCAGTGAACGAATAATGGCTGAAATGATGATGATGATAAAAGTGAAAATGAATTAATTACCTCCTGGTATCTAAATGGTGTAACTAATTGTCATAAATTTGGTATAATATGTATAGGTAGAATATATTATCTGTACTAATATTATAAAGCGAAAAAAATAGTTTAGTAATGAATAATTTAAAAAAACTTCTCAACCTATTTTAAAGTCTTTTTTTATACAACTTAAAATGGCAAACCAGCTAAGGGCCCACCTGATGAAAAGTGGTAACCGTCGCCTATAGACATGAGCAGTACCGTGGACATAACAGAGTATACTGTTTCGCCCATGATACCCCCATGCTTTGCCATTCTTGAGGACTCAGGTGTTATTCCTCTGTACCCTGTAAATTCACTGCCATATCCCAACCTTTAAACCGAAACACAGCCATGCAAACACAACTGCTTTACGGTTGAAACACGAATGAGACAGAAGTGCCCAAGCAAACGACTTTTGTACAAAGTCTAGGTTATATATTATTTCTGAATATTCGATCTACTTATGCGAGGCCGGGCCGGATCGCCAATAGAATATACAGAGGCTCAAAGTTTGTATTTCAAATTATCTGGTATCACGACGGTTATATAATTGATTTACAAGGATATGTGGGCGACTGTACTCGATATAAACATGAGTACGATGTCACGGCTCGAATTAACTATGCCGACGAAGATATTTCAATTTTGTCCAATTCAGAATCGGCGAATATGATTATTTTAATACAAAATAAACATCTGTGTATATATACATAGGCAACGTAATATACCGAATTTTAAGGGATTTTACCTTCTTCGCATATACATTTAATGGTCACTCTTTGCGCTAACAGTATACGCTGCCGGGGCCCAGTGAGAGATGATAGATGAGAATGGAAAGGCAGGTCATTTAGACCATCGTGATGAATACATTTGGAATTCAAAATGAAGGTTTCAAGGGGAGACCACGTGGAGGTAGACCTGACAGGGTATATTGCTAGCAATGGGATTGGTAATCTGCATTACTAACAATGCCTTCCTCCTTCCTCTTCAAGTATATCAGCCCTATATTTTAGTTACTTTAGTTACTCACGTAATGGGAGCAATTAATGGGTATCAATAATTTACAGAGTTGTTAAAAAAATCTTATTTTTAATATTTAATTTATTCACCTAACAATAGCGCATAAATTTTCATCGAGTTTATATATATATATATATATATATATATATATATATATATATATATATATATATATATATATATATATATATATATATATATATATATATATATATATATATTTATTGCACTTGTAAGTTACATATAAAATAATCTATTTATACATGTGGTGAGCAAGGGTGGACTTATCTCTGACAGAGATCTCTTCCAGTCAACCCAGTACAGTAAGAAAGCATTTCGTTAACGGGCAGCTGAAGTGCTACAACTATTAATACATAAACAAATATACAGTTAAATAAAATATTAAAATATATAATAAAATATTACATAAATACATACACTATAAATACATATAATACCTATCTACTTATATAATAAATGTTAAAATAAATGAATATACTGCACTCTAAAAGTATATGTTGCACATTACCGATTATATCACAAACTTGACAATGGGGTTACCAGGACTTCCCCATGTATGTTATTTTACGAAAGAGGCAATTCATTTACATGAAAGCAATTTACACTATGTTCTATTAAAATCTAGTCGGAGCAGTACTAGCAATATACTAATAAAAGTTTTTTTTTTTTAAATCGTTTGATGAACCAACTGACTTGCTTTCATCCTCACCTATCATATCATCACTCACTGGTGCCCTGCAGTAGTGTAAAAAGTAGCAAGCAGGTCACGCGCTCGGTCATTGTTAAGCGGCCACAGATAATATAATACTACTATAATATTACTAGAAGTATTTTCGTGTAGGTCCCATAAAATAGGCCTGGCATAGAATAGGCCATCCCTTTCTTTCTCGTGGGTGTCGTAAGAGGCGACTAAGGGAGCTTATGGTGGAGGGATGGGCAGCAGCATTTCTCTTAAAACATCACAATATGCGAAACTACGGTTGTCAATCCACCTATCAAGCGTAGTAACGACTGGCAAAATCCCCTCCAATGGTAAACTGCCATAAGGATTCGTCCATTCCTTATTATGCCGGTCTATGGAGGCCTGTTTTCAGTAGTGGACAGATAGCGGCCGATATGATGACGATAATGCAGGTACTATCTAAAATATACTGAAGTTCGTTTCGTATGAAATATATTAAATTATAAATATATAGCCAAATATAATCGACATTTAAAAATTATTTACCTTTGAACAGCCATAGAGAACGCTTCAACCACGTTGTTGTCGTTCTTCGCAGAGGTTTCTATGTACGTAGCTATCTTGTTATCATCACACCATCGCTTCAAGCTCTCGTGGGGCACTTCCCTGTCTTTTGATGGTACATCAGACTGTAAAAAATACAGACAAATATAACTAACAATCCGCCCCAGATTCGCATGGGTAGATAGATGGAAAGATGGGGGAAAGGGATTGTTAGTAATGCGGACTATCAGTTCCATTGCTAGTAATATACCCTATCAGGTCGACCTCCCCGCGGTCCCCCCTGGAAACCATCCTGCTGAATTCCAGGTGTATTCATAATGATGGGCTACCTGACCTGTTTTTTCATCCCCACCTATCATCCCTCACTGGTGGCCCGCCAACGTATACCGTTAGTGCAGGCGGGGTTACCATTCCATTATCAGCCGTTGAAAAAAAAAAAAAGATGGAAAGATAAATTAGTATTTTATATTTGCTTTAATAAGCAAGTTTTTGATACATTTAGGTTATATTAATGTAATTTCCGTTGGGATCTCTATTTTTTTTAATAATATACTCGTATATCCTATGCTACTCTCTGTTATTATAGTTTTCTCTATGTGCAAGAATTTAAAAAATTGGTTAACTAGTTTTAAAGTTTATTGATTACAAAGAATATTAAAAAAAAAGAACATTAAATATGTTGTTTATAGTATTAAGTATACATATATTTATTATAATTGTGTGTTTTCTAAATCTTCATATTGAGATCTATCGTTTGGGTTATTCGCGGTTTGGACGTCGAACGGTTAACACTAGGCTCCAAGCAGCGATCTAATAAATTGCCTGAAAATGCCTGATGATCGTTTAAAAGCAAAACGACATGACAGTCGGAGATTGATGGCTAACGTGGAAGGTTGTGGAACTTCTGGTAGTAATAGTGGTGGTCAATCTTTGAGTGTTGACAGTCACACACAAACTAATGGTAGCGGAATTAAAATTATTTGAATCAAATAACCAGGAATATTTATGAATAAATAACATTTCCAATCAAATCAATCATAGTCTATAGAATCCCACTGCTGGTCAAAGGCCTTCCACAACCTAATAACCTTCTACTCTAAAAAAAATGTAACAAAACATGCCAATATCGAGTACAATAGCGACTTTATCACTCGAAACGGTCTACAAAGGTCGATGCCAAAATAAACCTTTGTTACGTGACTTGAGGCCGTATAATTTAATTTCTGGTCATGTAATAAAATCATTTTTTTGATTAGGTTAATATACTAAGTATACTAAGTTATTTTATGTTGTAACTAATTCAAATGATTACATTTTATAAAGTCGTTCATGGGTGCATTTTTTGACTGGACGACATCTTAAAAGACCTAAAGGTCAGCTAGGAAATAAAAATAATTTAAGATATTGTACCACAAAAAAAAACACCGACCCTAATCGTGGCTAAACCAGTTATTTTCATTTAAAAACTAAACTGCTAAATCGATTTTTATAAAATTTTTTACAGGCCAAATCTGAAAGTTGAATTCCAAACTAGAACTTAATATCCGGTCAGGGCGCACCTCTTATTAGGAGGAGCAAATTAAAAAAAAAATAAACTGAAAGTTGCAAATTGGTTAAGATAAATAAAGAATTTTCCAAATAGGTTTCTAAATGATGGAGTTGTGAGATAACAAACATAAAAAGAAATACTAATAAAGAAATACTGGCCCCCGCAATCAACAGACCTAAACTCCATAGAGCACGCGTGGGACATACTCCAAAGAAGGGCTCTAAAGGTTTTACCTGCAAACATTGCAACTGAAGAGCAACATTTATTGCATCTAAGCAGGACCTGGGTCAATATTCCACAGCAAAACTTTGATCACTTGATTCAAAACATGAAAAACCGCTGCAGAACCGTTATTAATATCATGGGTGGTTTTACTGACTTCTAATTTTTGTATCATTTTAAAACTTGAATACTTAGCTTTATTTTTCTTTTTTCTTATAAAGAAACGTTCATCTTTAATTTTACCATTTTTCCATTTTTGTCTTTATTTAAGTAAAACTTAAATTATGCAAAAAATGTGACTTTATTTTATTTTGAAGTTTAGTTTGTTAAATGGGTTTTTAAAAAATATATACATGTTGTATGTTATTTATATTTTTCTTTTAGTAAATTGTGAATTTCAAATTCATAATATAGACGATGTTGATGTGTTCAGGTATGTAGGTACTATTTGCTTGCATTTTTTGTCAGATTAAGTCCTGATGGTGAATTTAAAATAATTTATAGCTTTATTTAATGTTTCAAGTGTAGGTGTTAATATAGGTACATGTCGTTTGGTGTAAAATATCGTACTCATACTATTATTACCACCATTAAATTCCTGGGTCAACTACCTTCGTGTTGTGTACCTAATGAAAATATGACTATCGAGCAACGCATCGACCTTTGTGTGTAATGATAGGTTTTGATAAAAAAAAAATATTTTTTTATATTTTAATAATGAACTAGGAACATAACTATTTATTAAAAGTTTTGTTTTCAACCCTTAAATACCTGAAGTTTCAAATTTGATACCGGGGTTATAAATCGCCTACAATCGATTTTATTTTAATATTTGGCTGTTTACATGTTACCAAATGTTTTTTTTTTCAAAATAAATATATAAAAATATCGTTTCGATTTTTTTACTATTTTTCCCCATTAGTAAACACAGTAAAGGCTACACTTATATATTTTTAATATGATTTAAAAAATCAGGCTTTTAAGGGTTAAACTCTTTGTATAGCCTTTGTCGAAAGCACAGGCATATTTTAAGATATTGTTTTAATAGATGAAAATGTAGAAAACTGAAAGCATTGTTAGGGATGTGGCTAGTAGTGCACATCGAACTACTAGCCCCATTGCTAGCAATACACTCTGTCAGGTCAACCTCCCCGCGGTCGCTTCTGGAAACCATCGTGGTGAATTCCAGGTATATTCGTCACGATAGGCTAATTGACTTTTTGCCACAGACGACGGTTGGCACTTTCCATCAGGTGGGCCGTTAGCTTGTTTGCCATTCTAAGTAGCATAAAAAATCTCTCTCCTCCCACTATAATATACTGTTTTGGGGCGAAGGATTGCTTTTTTTTGTGGGATGATAATGGAATGGTAACTCCGCCCGCGCCTACGATATAGACTGGTAGGGTACCAGTGAGGGATGATAGGTGAGAATGAATGCAGGTCAGTTAGCCATATAATGACCAGAAGCATTATCTTAATATTAATAATTAATACAATTTCTCTGTACCAGACTAACGACATGTCAAATTAACGGGTCCTTTTTAAACTACTTTCTCACACACCGGTCAATATGTAATGAATTGTTTTTAGAACGGAACATTAGAAAACCATTACGCCTCACGCGCTTTATACTACGTGTAGGTGCGTACTGGTGAATTAATGAATCACAAATTAATTCAATAACTACATAATAACCTTGCAAGGTAATGCTATTAGCTTTTTTTCTAGTTTACTTCGTACATGGGGATTTTAGTAGGTATTTTTTTAGTAGGAAAACCAATGAAATTCCAGGCTACGGTAACCGCTTACCATCAGGTGGGCCATATGCTTGATTGCCAACTCAGTGGTGTATATATATATATATATATATACAACAACGGTTGAACCCGCAGGTAAGAACGAGTACTCATTGTTAGTTGCATTAATACAATCTGTGTTAGGTAGACTCCCATGTGGTTCCCCCTGGAAACTATCGTATTTAATAACTAGTGAATACGTCACGATGTACTAAGTGACTTGACCTCACCATCCCAATAGAGCCCCGTTAACGTTTAATAGCGGTATTACCCTTCCACTATCATCTTAAAAACATCTATGGTACTGCAAGCTACTCTAAGTGTACTGTATAGATTTTTTTCTCTTCTGTATCGTTTATAGTTGACCATCAGGCGGGCCGTATTATTTTTAATCGATTTTCAAAAAAAAACAATTATAATAACATAATTATACCTATCCTTAAAACTATTAAATAAGTTTCCATATACATCAAAAAAGAGGAGGTTCTAATTTTGAATATACTTGCTTTTGTATTCGAAATTCAAATATTTTAATACACAAGGATATTTCGTACATTATGTTTTTTTTTTCTCGCATTAAAATTTACATGTTATTATCATATATATAGTAAAGGAAAAGACGATAGCTTGTTAGTTATTCGAAATATACTGGGAGGCAACCTGCCTTTGTTAACAATGATAAGATAAGATGAAAATTACACAGTTTAACATCTCGTCGTTACCTAATATTACAAGATCTTTGTTTCACTAGACCTATAGCAAATAAATTTGGGAAAATATAATAACAAATATGGACTTACTACGTACGTGGAAATGTGGCGATAATATTAACTGTATGAGATTTAGGGGGCACCGTGGTCTAAAAGTGATACAGAGATTTAAAAGAGATGTTATACGATAAATAAAGGCTCGCATCAAACTCGAGTTTCTCCGATGACCTTTTTTTAGGAAACCGTGCCAAAATGGCACAAAGCAACCCTTATAGTGCGACTATTTCCATCCGTCCGTCCATTTGTTATAGTGTTTTATATCAGTAACTACAAAAACTGGCGATTTGAAATTTAGAATACTTTTAGACATCAATGACCCACACATATTGTGAAAGAAATAATTGACAAAATATTTTTATTGCCTTTGTTAGAGAATCAAAAAAAAAAAACACTCAAATTTAATTATAAAAATTATAAAATAATTCTATTAGTCTAAATCGAAAATGTCTGGAATTGATTGTCTGGAAAATGGATTGTCTGGAAGAGATTGCTTCGCGATAAGGCCGCCTTTTGTATCACTTCTCATTAATATTTACTATATTTGTTATTTCTCTTTTTACTTGGTGCAATAAAGTGTAAAAAAAATAAAGGTTTTTGGGTTCACAATGCAATATCGATTACATATTTTTTTTATTGTTAATAATTAATGTAATTATATAGTGCATTTGTAATTAATTAATCACATTGTTAAAGTATGCTTTATACATTAATTAATGAGTTTGTTTATTTGTTACCATAGCACCTTATCGGCTTAATCAATCACTCTGAAATTTGGTATAAATGTACTATATTACATGGAGAAGGATATAGGCTACTTTTTATCCCGGTCAGTAAACATATTACGGTCACGCGAACAAAGTCGCAGGTAAAAGCTATTAAATTATAAATACCTTATTGCCAACAACCATAAAGGGGAATTTCTCTATTCCATTTTTAACGCCAGCGTAGTGCAGGAACTCGTTTAGCCACATTTTAATATTGTTGAATGAGCTGCGGTCGTCTATGGCGTATGCCAGTATGCAAATATCTGATCCCCTGTAGAAAGGCGTCCGGAGAGATTTGAAACGCTCCTGGCCAGCTGTGTCCCATACCTAAAAATTATAAATTATTATTCGTTATCTTTATATTAAAAATGAGTTTTTTTTATTCAAATAGAATGAAAAACAAGCAAATGGCCCGCCTCATGGAAAGAAAGTGGGGGAAAGGGGTTGTTAGTAATGGGGTCTAACTAAACCAATTACCAGCAATTCACCCTATTAAGTCGACCTCCACGCGGTTCCCTCTGGAAACCTCTGGAACCATTGTGGTTAATTCTAGTGGAATTCGTCACCGACTTGTTTCATCGTCACCTATCATTCCTCATCGGTGACCCGCCAGCGTATACTGATAGTGCAGGCGAGGTTACCATTCTATTATCACTCATTAAAAAATAAAAAATCTCATGGAAAATGGTGATGAAAGACATTATACATGCATAATACATGACAGCTAGCTAATTTTATAAAATAAAAATGGCCCATAAATTGGCGATATCAAAACGAACGATCGAAATGCGTCAAAGTTACTCCAAACACGGTCCAAAGACGTGATCGCACAGCACAGCAATTTCTGGACCGCTTTTTATGGTGCCTTGCATCTTTGAGCACCAATTAAGCTGTTTTAATTTCGGCACTGGAAAACTCAGTCATAGAGTAGCGACGGTTGGACTGGTTCATTTATTTATTTTATTTTATTTATTCATTAGTACAAATATGTGTACATGGCGGACTTAATGCTAAAAGCATTCTCTCCCAGTCAACCATAGGGAAGTGTCAGAATACTCGAATGCGGTACTACTAATTATTGATATACATACATACTAAAATTACATATATAAACGAATAAATATATATAAATAACAAATATACTAGGCCGTATATTGTCAAAGTGTTTTTTTATGCAACTTAGAACGGCAAACTAGCTGACGGCCCATTTGATGGAAAGTGGTAACCGTCGCCTATAGACATGAGCAGTACCATGGACATAACAGAGTATACTGTTTCGCCTATAATATCCCGCATGCGTTGCCATTACTGATGACTAAGGTTTATTAGTAAAGATTACTTGGAAAAATAAAACAACAAAAGTAATTAACATAAAAAAACTTGGAGCCAGTGAATTCCAGAGTGTAGGATTTTTGTAAACATGTGTGTGACCATGAAATCTTTATTTGGAATATGTGCTAATTACAAGATACTCATACTGGCATTACATTATGATTGTTTTACAAATAAATAATATATATAAATGTGATGTGGTTCTGGCATAGAATAGGCTGCCTCTTCCTTTCCTGTGGGTGTCGTAAGAACCGACTAAAGGAGGATGAGGGATGGGCAGCAGCACCCTACTTAAAACATCTCTAAAGCCTAACTGTGGTTGCCAACCCGCCTGCCAAGCATGGCAACTACTGACAAAATCTCCCAAGGGAGAGCTTATTTTCCAGGAAGGCTGGCAGGGAGGGAGGCAGTGAACCGTTAAAGGCTGATATGATGATGATGATGAATATCTATAAAAATTGTCATTTTGATTATTAACTTTATGACATTATCCTATTAATTATTCTACCTGTACATGTCAATTCAATTCTTATAATGTATGGGTATTTTGATAATCACATAGGCAGTGTATTGATGTGATTTGTATTCATGATATATTTCAAGTAATTTGAAACTAGTCATGCTTACTATATTTTTTTTTAATGGATGATAATGGAATGGTAACCCCACCCGCGCTATTGGTATACACCGGTGGGGCACCAGTGAAGGATGATAGGTGAGGATGAAGTAGGTCAGTTAGCCCATCGTGACGAATTCAACATTGTGGGGACTGGTCTATTTATGTTTGTTTGTTTATTTTCCATTTAATAATACATATACATAGAACTTAATTCTAATTATAATCATACTATCTATGCAAATGTAAAATTATCCTGTACATAAAAAATTGTTTTTTCTTGGCAGACAACAACATACCCAAACCAGCAGTACAATCACACAAAATTAATGCTTTAAAAGAGTTTGTAAACCCAAATTCCAATAAAGGTTATTTCTATTCTATACTATACACCCAGTCACAGTAATACAAACTGCCCAATTAGAATAAGTAGTTGATTTAATACATGTATATTATTGTATTGATTGTTCACAAAATTTTTCTTTTGCATTAGGAAATTTGTAAGATTCAATTTTTTTGACTGTCAAACATTCGAGTGCCTTTTAATTTTATACTTGAACACATAGAAGGAATTTTGTCCATATTCTGTTAAGAAAAATAGAGCTAGCAAAACAGGGCCCCTCTTCCACTGGCATTATCTCTGCTCAATGGTGTCATGAGTCAATATCCAGACTTGGATATATTAACTTGACTTTTAAATTTGTTAAGTTTCACAGAATGGCAATAAAATATTTAGAAAGTGTCCAGTGATTAAATTTTATTTTGTTTCATTAATTGTGATTACCAAGGGGGTGAATTGGGAAACTGTCAAGTTTGTTATGAAAACATAATTCCTAGAAATTGCTGCACTATCAGCGGCCTCAACACGTGTTGTGGAGTCAGCGGCAACATACGACTCGGAACATTGAAGCGTCTGGCAGAGGTGTCACTCTCAGTACATACATCAACTGATTGGCATGTAACATAATAAGTTAGTTTAATTATAGTTTTCCTTAACTAAATTTAATATAGTATTTTTTTTTTTTTTGTTTTCTTTGTGCCCCTTGGTTGTAGCCTTTTTATTTAGCTCACTTAGTTGGTAAATATAATAAATAAATAATATTATAAATAGAAAAGATATTTGTTTGTTACTTCTTGGTGCTCTAATATCTCATTGAAGTCATGAAACTTGGCATATACATAATTATTGCAATGAAGAATATATACTATTTTTATGTCAATTAACCATTGCACCTCAGTCTCTCAGTCATGTCGATATTATTATTGATACTCAAATATGCTTTCTTAACTTTACAAATTTCAATTATATTTGGTATACATATAGACCACATATTAGACTAATACACCAACATTTTTATTACATTAGCATTACAAATACATCTATCAGTGTTTTTATCTAATATAAATTTCAGAAAACTTACTTGCAATGTATACTCTTTTCCATTAACCTCTATCGTTTTATTCATGAACTCGACACCTATTGTGTGGAAGCTATGGTCATCAAAGTGGTTAGATATGAACCTACTCATCAAGCAAGACTTGCCCACTCCGCCATCTCCCAAGATCACAATTTTCAACAATGTATTTTTATTAGCACTCCTTCCGTACGCACGATCGTTATCCTCCACCATTATGTCAGGTAATCACCATTATATACTTTACAATACTCCGTTTATTAATCCAACCTTGAAAGTAACACTTTAATTAGTGACTCATTATAAACAAATTTCCACTAGCAAAGTCATAAACAAATGAATAAACTGACTTGATAATCTTACAGGCATATATGAGGATATAATTTTTATAAATAAGAAATAAATAAATTTAATTGAAATATTTTGCAACACAGACAGCTGTTCCAGTAAATTTACAAACGTCAATTGATTTTGACTTGATTTTTGATGTTTGACGCATAATTAGAATTATTATGTTATGTAAGAGTTGGCATTGCTATTACATGGACGAAATTGAATAAAATTCTATGCAATTACTTAAAAATAATAAAATAAATAAAAATTAATAGTTTCTTACAAATATTTATTATATGTTTCTATCAGTTGTAATAGTATCAACAGGTACTATAAAAGATCTAACTATTTTACAGTGTAAACTTGGAAACCTGAATTAATTGGTCACGAGTCTTTTCAAAAAGATATAACGTCAGTTGGTGGAAACCTCTTATGACCAGCGGGTTGTCTTATATTTTGGTCAACGCATATCCATAGCCATTCAGTGTGGAAATACAGCAAGACTCCTAGGTACACCATAAGTTGGTAATGATCTCAAAGAAATTTTTATATTTGTCATTATTTTGATATTTATAGTACATACATGTAAAGTGTATATTATATTTTTTACACATTTGTATATAAATTAATTGGTTACATAGATTTCGTACAAATGTTGCTTTTTCTAAGTGCTATGTAATCTAGATTGACGACGTTACCAAAACCAAAATTGACGTTTGTAGATTCAGTTTATGCGCCATCTAGTAAATAAAGACTAAACAAGTCTTTAAAAATTATAACTGGATTTGAAAAATATTTTTTTATAACAAAAATATGTTATTTTTATCACAATTTTAAATTACTTCTTAAATCAGAACTTATTAAATTAACTTTGACGTATTTAATGTTGAACCCATTTTTCACTAGATGTCGCTTTTCATATTTTTTTGTTTTGGCGGCCGTCACAATCCAGTTGAATCGAGATGTCACGTCACGTTCACTCAGTTGATTTTATTCCGCTTTGTTTTGCGGAGGTGAGAGGACATCATATACCGATTGCTTGCGTTCAACGGTTGTGTTCAATGTTTTTCATAATAAAAATATTTATTGTGTGAATAGACGATATATTTTGTACAAGAAGTGTATTCTTATTGGACCGATGACTGTGTTTGTGTCAATTTGTAGAAAGATTCAAACATTTGCGCAATCGTTGTGAGACTTGATGTCAATAAACTTGTCGGTGGTATTTTATGGGAAAGGTGTGCCGCGTCGTATTGGTACCTGTATGCGGCGGGTGTCTTGGAGTCGACATGGAAGCTGGTAGGGCCCCTGTGGCGCCTAAGTCGTTGGAGCCATGGTGTCATAGCTAGGAGCGAGGTGAGTGGCATTAGGTAGCGTTCGGGGCCGCAGCAGGCAGCGACGTTGTGCGGGCAGCGCGAGGGGCGGGGGAGAGCGTGCATTCACCTCTGACCCGCGCGCGGGGCGAGCGCTCAAGGTCGGTGCGCCGCCTGAAGGTCGCTCGTCACGTGACGCGGGGGGTGCTCACCCCGTCCCTCGCGGCCTTCCCACCCCTTTATTTACTTTGATAGTCGTGTACAATAGTGTTTCGTTTACATAAATAATTTAATTTTGTTGGATCATATATTGTTTAATTAAAAATAGATAACTTTTAAATAATAGTATACATATATGCACGATAGATAATATTTTATAAAAGAAGAATACTTTTAGGTATATCAAGATTTCTATAATGACTTTCATTCATAAATAAATGGTGATATTTACTACAAAATACAACTAAAATAGATACCTACGTACTTGTTTTAATGTATGTAGGTATATAATAATAAATTTCGCATTTTAATATGTTAAATTAGGTAGGTAGTAACTAATTTTAGAATTAAGGAGAATCGAATTTACGATGGTATCATTGGAAATGATTAACAAAATATTAGGCTGGACTGTGAGGCGTTATTTTTAAACCTATTTCTTAATATAAAATTTTAATTTGATGGTTTAGCCAAATTACTGTTGTGGGCCATCACAAACTAAATTTATAACAATTACGACTTAAATCTATTAGAATATAAATTCATATTAGTCCTGAAATAAAAGATTTCGCTGTGTTATCAAATTGAAATTTTAATTTTAGAGTTAGCTTTACAGAAATGCAGTCTCAGATTTGATCCCATTATACCTAATTAAAGGGCGAAATATAATAAAATATTAACCTTTAAGTACAAATTCTTCGAAATAAGTGACTAATAATAAAAAAAATTCTAGACATTTATTATTATATTGATAATCAACTAAAATGTTATCTAATAATATTATTAGTAATAAAAACTTTAAAAGCAGCGCTGTAAATTTGTAATGAATTTGCCATGACAGGCCAGTTGACCTTACTTCATTTTCACATATCCTCCACTCTTGTAGCGTAATTTTTTAGCACGAGCAAAGTTGTCATTCCAATTTCATTAATCTAAATACAATGCGAAAACAATAACCTCTGGTGTCAAATAAACTGTTGAACATACTTATTTATATATTTATTCTTTATTGTACAATAAAATTGGTACAAATGGCGAGCTTGTTGCCGTATGGCATTCACTACCAGCCATAATTATTAGGTAAAAATAAAGCGTTTGAAGGCAATGGTCGCGAACATACATAACACGAAAAATTAAATTTACTTATTAATATAAATTAATATACACACACACACATATATATTAACACAATGATAGATATGTTATAATATAGCTATCTCACTACTAAGAAATGCATAGAGCTAAAATTATATGATTTAAAACACTATCATTGAAAGAAGAATCACCAAAATTGGCGTAGAATTTGCCAGGATATATACACAAAAAAATACCTATTATAAAACATACAGTTGGGACTTAACGCGATTTAAAAACCTTTACAGGTAAATAGCATCTACATACCTGCTTCTTTATTGTCGACGTTTCGACGTAGATTGCACTACGTTGTGATCACGACAAGATAAAAAAAAACTTTATTAATTAGTAATTTAAAATTAACTATTACAAAAAAAATCGTCAAATTAAGGACCTCTTTTTGGAGTCATTAAAAAAAAAAAAGAAATCTGAACAGAACAGTCATATTTTATTTTGGAGCATATTCTTACTATATTCTTCTCATATTCCGTCTACCAGAGGGAGACTTTGTACAAAAGTCGATTGCTTGAGTACCTCTGTCCCATTCGTATTTCTATCGTGAAGCAGTTGTGTTTGCATGGCTGTGTTTCGGTTTGAAGGGTGGGATATGGCGTGAATTTACAGGGTACAGAGGAATAAAATCTGAGTCCTCAGGAATGGCAATGCATGGGGGGTATCATGGGCGTAACAGTATACTTTGTTATGTCCATGGTACTGCTCATGTCTATAGGCGACGGTTACCACTTTCCATCAGGTGGACCGTCAGCTTGTTTGTCATTCTAAGTTGTATATAAAAAAAATCAGTTATTATAACTATTATAATATGTATTTTTCTCTTTGAAATTCTGTACACTGATACAAATTGCATTTTGTTACACCTTATTTTCAAGAATTGTAATAGAAGGCAAACTATAACCATAAGAATCATATATAATATAGCAAAATCAGCGTTTCATCAGTGTCACCTCTCTTTATCTGCTTTTTTCGTTACATTTTCATTATTATTATTATTATTATTTTAGTCTTCCATTGTTCACTGACAAACAGACTGTCTTCTTACTTCTTGCAATACATTTGATGTCGTTCCATTCAGAGTATAGTCAACATTCGAGACCCTTATTTTCCATTGTTTTATCGGATCTTCGTTATGTACTTATGTGATCAGCTTTTTAATGCAATAATTCCAACTTGGCTTTTTGCATATATCCTCATTTCTGTTTATATCATGAGACTATAATGTTTTAATGGGATGAATATGGAATGGCAACTCTGCCTGCGCTGACGGGATACTAGTGAATAATAGATAAGGATGAAGTCAGGTCATTAGACTCGTTGTGACGAATTCGCCAGAAATTAACCACGATGTTTTTTAAATTATCATACGAAAATTTATCTCATATTTGCTAGCAATCGGTTTGTTACAATTTGTAACAATGTTAGATTCCATTACTAGAGAGGGAAAATCCTCTCCATAGCTGAACTACATAATCCTTTCTTATTTTGGACTATGTTTCTATTCTCGATGAATTATTGACTTTACATACATACACTGATGAACGATGAGATATTTTGTAGACACGTTAGATTTATAATATTACAATTTAGATTGCGGATTAGCGTGTTGTATTTCTTACAAATAGATTTTGAGTCATCTGCATCGATACATGCTGTATGAATCGTCACAAAAACAATACAGCATCAATATAAGAAACCCCAAAATTATCATTGCATATAAGCATTAAAATCAATTTAGAATTGGCTACGTACACGCGAATACATAAACGTAAACAAATTGAAAGATCTCCTTTAAGTAGTCATTTAAAAAAAAAACCAACGAAATTTCTTTAAGAATTCATTCGGTATAAAACTCGCTTAAATTAATTCTAACTCAGATGCAACACATAATTGAGGCCTTCCATTTCAGCAACCTAGTAACAGGCTCGGCTTTTAGAATGCCTTCGTTTTGACTCACGTTAAAAGTTGTAGTACCTTGAATGCGAACACGCCTTCGTGTATACTCGTACACCAGCAGTTTCGTCACAACACAACCGTCTGTGGGTGGTAATTGTATTGCTGATCCGAAATACCGATTAAGTAAATATATATTGCTAGATTTACATCTAATTAAGACAACGGTTCTCGGACATATACTGCAATCAGTGAGTAACAGCCTTATAAATTTTATGGCCATTATTATTATCTATTACGTGTTTTTATGAACGTATTAATCACGAATTTAACTATTTATCTATGTATGAAATGTTGTCGTCTTTTTCATTGGGTAATGCAGATTTGTCTCTGTGAAGTTGGTCTTTAATTAATAATTTAAATGTATTGAGAATTTTTTTTGAAAATCATTAAAAATTATAGAGATGCTAGCCTAGCAGTTTTGGGTTGTGTGTTGACCAATCAATTAGACGTTGATACAACTGATAATGTTCGGTGTGAAACTACCGATAGATACAGGTGGCTTTTTTTATGCAACTTAGAATAGCAAACAAGCTGACAGCCCACCTGATGGAAAGTGGTAACCGTCGCCTATAAACATGAATATTACCATTTTTTTATCATTATTTTATCCGTTAACTCTCTACAGCTAAACATAAGCCTTCTCCGTAAGGGGAGTTTTGCCAGTAGTTACCACGCTTGGCAGACGGGTTGGCAACCGCAGTTAGGCTTTTAGAGATGTTTTAAGAGGGACGCTGCAGCCCGTCCCTCGCCCTCCCTTAGTCGACTGTTACAATACCAACGGGAGGGGGGAAAGGGATTGTTAGTAATGGAGTTTGACAGCCCCATTGCTAGCAATATGCCTTATTAGGTCGACCTCCATGTGGTTCCCCCTGCAAACCATCGTGAACAATTCTTGTTGAATTCGTCACGATGGGTTAACTGACCTACTTCAACCTCACCTATCATCCTTCACTGGTGCCCCGCCGGTGTATACCGATAGCATGGGTGGGGTTACCATTCCATTATCATCCATTAAAAAATACCAACGGGAAAGGAAGGGGTGGCCTATTCTATGCCGGGACCTACACAGCAATTGTCTGCTTATGGGGAGCAGTTACTTTGACCAGCTACTACCATAAAAATACATTAAACTAATTTTTATATCAAAATCTACAATAATTACTCGTATTAAGACAGTGGTTAGAAATAGAGGCATAGAAGCAATGCAAGCATAAAGGCAAGGCAAAGCAATACAAGGCAACATTATCATATCTCAATCTTCAACATAGTAGAAGCCGCTCTCCTAAAACATTAATTGCAAAACTAATGTCGAAATAGGATCTTAGCGAGCTCATTGTTTATTCTTAGCCGGATGGAATTGATTACTCTATAACTACTGCAATAATTAACCATTAAGTTTACAGTTAAGTACTGGTTAATTGTTGTGAAGTTATTGACTCTGTAAGAACTAATTGAGTGTATTCCTTTAATTATGGATACGTATTTTTGTACATTTTGATCTGAAAAAAAAAAAAACACTACAATCGTGACAAAACACGAATGAACCTAGATTAAGGATAAAGCCAATGAACGACGTCGTGTTTCGTAAACACATTGATTGGAAATATTTGAATTTAGAACGCGTAATCGTAGGAATTCGTATAAGTGGATTGTGCTTTGCAAGAAACCGTTTTTTGCATTGCAAATAAAAACAGATAGTCGCTTTATTATTAGTTCGCATGG